TACTCATGCCCATCCGTCCATCACACTTTTTATACTCCTACTCGACAGGTATTTAGGAATATTCATGCCCATCTGTCCATCACGCTTTTTATACTCCTACTCGACAGTCAGGTATTTATGAATACTCATGCCTATCCATTCATCACACTTTTTATACTCCTACTCGATAGTCAGGTATTAGGAATACTCATGCCCATCCCTCCATCACACTTTTTATACACCTACTCGATAGTCAGGTATTTAGAAATAATCATGCCCATCTGTCCATCACACTTTTAATACCCTTACTTGATAGTCAGGTATTTAGGAATACTCATGCCCATCTGTCCATCACACTTTTTATACCCCTACTCGACAGTCAGGTATTTAGGAATACTCATGCCCATCTGTCTATCACACTTTTTATACTCCTACTCGACAGTCAGGTATTTAGGAATACTCGTGCCCATCCGTCCATCACACTTTTTATACCCCTTCTCGACAGTCAGGTATTGAGGAATACTCATGCCCATCCGTCCATCACACTTTTTATACCCCTATTCGATAGTCAGGTATTTAGAAATACTCATGCCCATCCGTCCATCACACTTTTTTTACCCCTACTCGATTGTTAGATATTTAGGAATACTCATGCCCATCTGTCCAGCACACTTTTTATACACCTACTCGACAGTCAGGTATTTAGGAATACTCATGCCCATCCGTCCATCACACTTTTTATACCCCTACTTGATAGTTAGATATTTGGGAATACTCATGCCCATCTGTCCATCACACTTTTTATACACCTACTTGACAGTCAGGTATTTAGGAATACTCATGCCTATCCATTCATCACACTTTTTATACTCCTACTCGATAGTCAGGTATTTAGGAATACTCATGCTCATCTGTCCATTACACTTTTTATACACCTACTTGATAGTCAGGTATTTAGAAATACTCATGCCCATCTGTCCATCACACTTTTTATACCCTTACTTGATAGTCAGGTATTTAGGAATACTCATGCCCATCTGTCCATCACACTTTTTATACACTTCCTGAATAGTCAGGTATTTAGGAATACTCATGCCCATCTGTCCATCACACTTTTTATACCCCTACTCGACAGTCAGGTATTTAGGAAAGACTCATGCCCATCCGTCTATCACACTTTTTATACTCCTACTCGACAGTCAGGTATTTAGGAATACTCATGCCCATCCGTATATCACACTTTTTATACCCCTACTCGACAGTCAGGTATTTAGGAATACTCATGCCCATCCGTCCATCACACTTTTTATACCCCTACTCAATAGTCAGGTATTGAGGAATACTCATGTCCATCGCACTTTTTATACCCTTACTTGATAGTCAGATATTTAGGAATACTCATGCCCATCTGTCCATCATACATTTGGTTTGGTTTCCAGTTTATCATGTTGATACTGATAGATTGAGAACTGCTTTTTTTATTAAATTAATCAAAATTTTAATGGAATGTGTTGAACCACTAACTCAAAAATTGTTGGTTCCAGCGAATATATGGATAAACCCTTTTTGAAATAGTTACATTCCATATTCACCATTTTCACTGTTATGGTTTCTGACTTATGGTTCTTGATAGTTTGAAAAATTCTAAATTTATTAGTTTCCAGATAATAAATGGAGAACTGCTTTTTTGAAAATGATTTATTTTGGACCACTAAAGGCAGGTTAAATTTCAATTTAAAAAAATTCCAAACTCCATACCAAAGCTTCAGATAAAAAACAAGGGAGTTAAAAACTACATTTGTAACTAAAAATATAAACACTTTCAAAGCAGTAAGACCATCTGGTATCTCTACACATTACAGTAAAACTTTGCAGTGGAACTCTCCTCTTGCATAACCCAAGATATTTCAGAAATCAGTAGTTACTAGCATTTTTGCTATTATTGTATGCATTGTGATAATATTTTCCTTCAGTTTTATATGTTAAGCGCTTAGAGTATTATGTTTATTAGATAGGCGCTATATAAAAGCTATGTAATAAATAAATAAATAAATAATTACTGTCACTCTACCCAAAGACTGCTAAAGCGCAAACTTTGCCCCAGTTTATAAGAAGGGAGATGTATATGCAGCTTATAAATACAGACCTGCATCCTTAACTTGTGTTTTGGGTAAAACATTGGAGAACATCATTTGCAAACACATGTCGAAACATCTGGAAAAATGTATAATTTCAAAGGCTAATGTATCAGCCACTGAATACAAGGGAAGATGATCATATCAACAGCATCGGGGAAAAAACATTCAAAATGTGATCTATAGTTGCTAACTCCATTTGGTCTCTGGTGGAAAGTTGTCTCATTGGAAATCACACCACAGTTCTTTATTTTATATGGTCATGATGGTAAGGCAATATTTGACTTTTGGAAAGCTTTTGACACAACGTGTCATGATTAATTACTAATATCGAGATGGATAGAAACATCAACATTTCGCTTTCAAACTTCCTCATATGTCAATCAATGAGAGTAGTACATTTGTAGAAGAAGGAGAACATTCTATAGATGTACATGTTGACCTTGGGGTTCTACAAGTCACTGTGTTGGACCTTGATATGCCATATAAATTGTGATTGTTCACTGTATTGACAAAAACAGTCCCTGTAAGACTACCAAGCTTTACAAAAAGACATAACCATGATAACAAAACTGGAATATTGTCAAAACAGTGAGGAATGAAACTCAATGCAAAGAAATGCTACATAATGAGCATAGAATAGAAGTCAATGATAAATATAAGCCATTTCTACCAACTAGACACTCAAATTTTGGAGCATGTCAAAACAAACCTGTACTTGGAACAAATCATCTTTGAATACATAACATATCACAGCCGCATCAACAAAATAGCCAGTAAAGCTATAGTTGTACTGAAGAATTCTTTGGAGAAACCTGGCCAAATGCCATGAAGAGAGCAAAAACTGGCATACATATCCATAGTGAGGAAGTTTTGGAATTTGGAGTTGAAATCTGGAATCCTTTAAACACATCCAAAGATGTTGAAAAAAATATAGGGCATTTAAAATTGTGCAGCTAGATTTATCTTACATGACTACAAATCTGGAGAGCAGGATGTGCCACTAACATACTTTCATGAGCAACATGATAGGTGCCAGGTGAGGAGAGAGATCTGCTTCCCCTTCCACAGTTCCGGAGCACATGAGATCACCTCTGGTTTTGGTGGGGTTACTGTTGCTCAGTCTTTAGTTTTCTATGTTGTGTTTTGGTGGGGTTACTGTTGCTCAGTCTTTAGTTTTCTATGTTGTGTTTTGGTGGGGTTACTGTTGCTCAGATTTTAGTTTTCTATGTTGTGTTTTGGTGGGGTTACTGTTGCTCAGATTTTAGTTTTCTATGTTGTGTTTTGGTGGGGTTACTGTTGCTCAGATTTTAGTTTTCTATGTTGTGTTTTGGTGGGGTTACTGTTGCTCAGTCTTTAGTTTTCTATGTTGTGTTTTGGTGGGGTTACTGTTGCTCAGATTTTAGTTTTCTATGTTGTGTTTTGGTGGGGTTACTGTTGCTCAGATTTTAGTTTTCTATGTTGTGTTTTGGTGGGGTTACTGTTGCTCAGATTTTAGTTTTCTATGTTGTGATTTGTATACTGCTGTTTGTCTTTTACTAGTTTTGGTGGTTTTCCTTTTTTTGCCATGGCATTTTCAGTTTATTTTGACTTATGAGGTTGATTATCCCTTTTGTATCTTTGGCCTCATATTTGGAATTTAATTGACAAAATATACAAGAATGAAGGAGACAACAATGCCTTGTCATGTTTTGCAAAGGGGTTGAGGTACTCATCAGATGCCAGCTTTATCACAGTGTGACATCAAACCAGTCAGATAAAAGACAAATTCAAGGAAGCCGAAAACTTTGGTGATTATATAAGCACTTAAATTGTTCAAGGACAGGAAACCAAAAACTCAAAATCACATATAAAACTATACAACTAACACACACAAAGAAAAACTCTGACATTGCTTCCATTTTTACTTTAAAATTAAGAAACTTCAACAAAAATTAAAAAAGATAAAGACCAGATGGTAAGAAACTACAGTTATGATTCTCTTAATTTAAAGTTGATTGTTGATTACCCTCTCCACCTTCAAACATGGTGGCCATGCAATTCCTAAAATAGGAAATATGAAAAAGATAAGAAACTATTACCAAATTATTGTTAAAAGATACATATATGGCATTACTGGTATGCTCTTTTAGAATTATTGTTAATGACAAATCCAACTTCAGACATGACTGTCACTGTTACTAAATATAAAGAAATTGACAAAAATTGAAATAAACATCTGGAAAATCATGTGAATTACCAATTCTTACCAAACTATAATTAAATGATCAATACAAATAAAACATGGACACTCCCACCACATAGTACAGCCAGAAATAATTTTGAATTCTAATTACCATAATTTTTGAAAAAGAATGAAAAGTTTCGGAAAATCAATTAAAGGGGTCCTTTTATAAATTGCTTCTGAACTTTCAGGTCTGAAAAGGTTTAGATAGGGTTGGAGAGTTGTTGATAATGTTCATAGATCCATGTGAGCAATACAGGCTGTTTGGAGCCTCCAGTTAATAGAACCACCTTGAATTTGTTGTATGGAGTGTATTTTGTACATAGGTATAACTGATCATATTCTATATGATCCTATTAATTCTATTGTCAAATTGTTATGATATTCACCTATAATCATCAGATGAATTGAATATTTCAATTTGTATGACAATCTTCAACAACAGAAAATAAATCTTGTTTTATTTAAGTTCAATACTCTGTTTTCATGATTCTACCATCAATTATATTCTTCATAAAAGCAAGTTTCAATGCCTTTTATATGATTTACTAATCAGGTAAAAAGAAAATCTAACTAAAGGTATGATCATTACCCCTATTAGTCCAATCATAGCATGTGCTGCATGACGGATTCCTGTTGGAAGGTTTAATATAAAGATAAGAGCACAGACATAGCACCTTAGAAACAATGCTTCTGTTTAAAAACAGTAATTAAATGCAGATACGTTAATGTATCAGTGGTTTAATTCATACAGGTTTAGCAAATAGTATTAAAGGTGAACAAATAATATTGATATGATGACAATAGTTACATGGTTTGGTGGCTCAAATTTGAAACGGGTCAGTTTTTAATACAGACAAGTGGAGCACATTTGTCAAGTTATTTGGAACAATGTGATATATTAGGACGTCTTTTCTATCCATTCGTTGGAATATATAACTTTGAGGACCTGGTCTTGGGAATACTAATACCAACCAAAATGGTGTTTGAATATCAATCCAATTATCATAAAGGATATGTTGTGGAATATTTAGACAGTAATACCTCCAAAAGGTGTGAAGGATTCATATTGCTACCAGCTGAAAACCTTTGGCATGAAGGAGTTCGTGGATTTCTCTATCTCCTTGCTTTGCTTTATCTCTTTCTTGGGGTTGCTGTTGCCTCAGATATATTTATGAATAGTATTGAAGTGATGACAAGCAAGAAAAGAACTATTAAAAGAGTTGACCCAGAGAACCCTGACAAAGTTGTCACTATAGAAGTATTAGTATGGAATGAAACTGTGGCTAACTTGACATTGATGGCTCTTGGTAGCAGTGCTCCAGAAATTCTCTTGGCCGTTATAGAGCAGGTTCTAGTGTTGGGAGAAGACCAGGGAGATTCTCTAGGCACATTTACTATTATAGGAAGTGCTGCTTTTAACTTATTTGTCATAACTTCAATATGTGTTGTTAGTGTTTCTTCACCTGATGTCAAATTTATTAAGGAGTTTGGAGTGTTTTTAACGACAACATTTTATTCTGTATTTGCCTATGTTTGGATGTTACTTGTTGTTCAAGTTATATCTCCAGGAGAGATTGAATGGTGGGAAGCTTGGGTAACAATAGCTTTCATGCCATTGTTTGTGTTGCATTCATATGCTCAAGATAGTGGGTGGTGGTGTCATAAATGCTGTAAAGGAGCTTCTGTGTCTGATGAAACTGGAGATAAACCAGTAAGTTCTGTAAACAAAAAATGATCATAACAAATTGTAATAGTACTTGCTTATAAACTTTAAGGATCATTATAACAATATTATCAATATGCACATGTGAATTCTGTGGTCCATAAAAACTGCAAATTTTAATACTTAATCAAATAAGTAAGTTAAGATTTGTACTATAATTTGTCTGAAAACAAGGATCAAAATTTAACTTGCAATTTTTTAAGCATCGAGATAATAAAATAAAGTACTATAGTTTCTACATCTGAGAGTCTTATTTTCAAACTTGATCTGAGAAATGGCTGATTATTACAGCTACATTATTATTACAATGCTTCAATATTGTTCACATTTCAGGAAAATGACGTTTAGTTCATTTGAAGGCATTGAAGTCATTTGACTTGTATCATCTATAATTATGATTGGTTCACACATTATTTGAGCTTTTTACAAAGACCACTAGAGTCTTTCACCGTTCTCAGGGGTTCAAGTCTTTTTTCCTGGATATTTATAAATATGGAAGGGCACATTACATTCTTTTTATTTGATCAATCAATATTTTTCATTTAACCAATTACATCAGTTTCCCCAGTTAATAAAATCACCAATGACCATAAAAACTGGCTGAAAGTTTTATGCATGTAGAAATCAGAAAGATATTGCTATTGAAAAAACTGCTGCCTATTTCAATGGTTTGTGTTTTTTCTTCACATGGGGTATGGTCCTTGATTTATAAATGAGCTGTGTCGAAAAGAAATCGACCTTATGCAAATGAATATCAATACATCTGTTAACCTATTTCGAGTTGAAAAAATCTCTGTGCAAAGTCTGTAACTGTTTGAAAATTGAGTTGATATAAGAACCCTACAAAACAGACAAAAATTCATCTTTTATTGCGTATTTGTATGTTTAAAAATCAATCGAAGTCTTACACATGTACATGTAAACATGCACTTGCATAAGGTCTATTTTTGTCCGATGCAGCTCAAATGATACCATGAGAAAATAGTCTTTTTTATTTTCAGATGTATTCCCCATGAATAATCAAATTTAAAATTTACTTTTTCAACCTTTTGCTATGCATATATATATATATATATATATTATATATCAGACTTTTAAAATTTGAACTAAAATTTGAACTATAAAATTGCTCAATGCTATTAAAGGTTATAATAAGATTAAATCTGAAATCTTTACAAGATGAGACCCAGTGTTCTCAATAAAACAGGGTCATCAGAGTATTATATCAATGTCATTTTAATGTTAGTAAATTATTACATGTTACTTAAACAAAACAATACACCTGGGTTTCCTTAAAGATTTTAAACCTATCTTATACATTGAAGATATCAAACTTTTAAAATTAACTTTAGTCGAAAATGAATTACTAGACTACAATTGTGTTTCCATAGATTCCAACATTACTTAGCAACTGTTGAAAATTTATTTCTATTAAGGATATCAAAATTACGAAGAACATCAAATAATTTTTAGTATTAATGGTCTTTTCATTTTTGAATTCTTCAATTGCCTGAAGACAGGATAAAAATGTGAGCAATTGTATCAGTCTGATAAGTCAAGCCTTCAACTGTTTTTATAGTTTGTCCTTATGTTTGCTGTTTTAGGAGGTACAGGGTTAGAAGCCTGAAAACATGTTTAACCCCACCACATTCTGTATGTGCCTGTTATTCAGTGGTTGTTGTTTGTTGCTGTATAGCAAATTAGGCTTTTACTTTTCTGATTTAAATAGTTTTTCATTTGTCATATTGGGGCCTTTTATAGCTTGCTGTGTGGTATAGGTTTTGCTCATTGTTAAAGGCTGTAGTTGACCTATAGTTGCTAACTTCTACATCATTTAGTCATTGATAGACCTATAAGATTGCCTCATTGCCAATCATTTTACATCTTATTTTTATAAATAACGAATTTGTCTTTGGCTAAAACAGCAAGTATAATTGCTCTAGCTTCTTCAGTTAAAAGCTGAAGAAGGTAAATGAACACCCTCCAAGGACAACAGTAGATTTACCTCTATTTCCATCCTCAGATACTGTAAATTCAGAAATTATTGCGTGCATTTATTATTGCGATTTTGTCATTTTACAGTACTAGTCTAACAACTTTAGTTTGGTGATGTTATTTCATCTAAATGCTGCTGAATAACTAGTTAATTAGTATCAGTCTTTTTAGCTCACCTGGCCCACAGGGCCAAGTGAGCTTTCCTCATCACTTGGCGTCCATCGTCCATTGATGTCGTCACCTTTTACAAAAATCTTCTCCTCTGAAACTACTGGGCCAAATTTAACCAAACTTGGCCACAATCATCATTGGGATATCTAGTTTAAAAAATGTGTCTGATGACCCGGCTTGCCACCCAAGATGGCCGAAAATGGCTAAAAATAGAGCATAGGAGTAAAATGCAAGTCGTCTATTATTTTGAAAACCATTATAAATAGAGAAAATCTGACACAGGCATAAATATTGAGAATGTTGAGCTCTACAAATTCTTTGTACACGTCAAAACTGTCAGACGATCAACAAAGCAGAGATTTTCGTCATGAATTCTATTCTCATCTACAATGTTGGAGAGTGATCTTTGTTGAATTTGTACATAGACCAAGGTGAGCGACAATAGTTATGTTGTCAAAGGCCAAAAATAATATCCAGTTACAGGTTACCATGGCGGACCATTTGAAATTTAACTCAAGCAACTGAGCTTAAACCAATACTTCTAGTATCAAAATGACTTAATACCTATTGAATGGCTTTTGATTTTAGGTTTTACACAAATATTTTGATAAATTGAATGGATTTAAAACAAATTTGTAGGTAGCATTATCAGGATAAGTTTTTAATTTGATGGCAAATCAAAGGCAAAGTTTTATTTGTGATCTTCTAATGAAGGCTTATTTTCCTTGGCATTCAGATAGTCCCTAATAGCACAGTCAAATATGAGATGAAATACTTTTGCAACATTCATTAAATTTCCAATTTACTTAAAAAAAGGATATTTGTGAAACTTTTTTGTTTGTTTTGGCAATCCAATTTTCACCTTTATGATCCATACATATGACTGAATGAGAATTTGGTACCAACTCTGGAATTGCTGATTATATAATGATTTAAACCTGTATTTTAATCTCTATGTTTATATTTTAGGCAATTAGAGTATTTACCCATCATGCCAGGAAAGGATCAATCACAGGACATGCTGTACCTGGACAAGAATTACACATGTTAGAGGCTGCACATAGAAACAAAGCTCACCAATTAAGGTATACTTACCAGAAAAAAGGTTTTCCCTACATTTAACTTTGTTATAAAGCGAGGTATAAAAAGTTTGTGCATTAAAAAAAAGACTCCCTTGTCAACGACTTAGTTGTTCTATTAAACCACCAGTAAGTTGAATCGTTCAATTTGTGATGTAAAGTTCACAAAGATGATGGTCTTGGTTTATACTGTTATAAAAGTTGTCATAAATGAAAATAACATTATTGATTTTGTGTGACCAACTACATTCTCCTCACTTGGTTCCGTTGTTTGTTCAGTTTGGCAAAAATGTCTCCTCTGAAACTATTGGTAATGACTCACTGGAACCAAAGTCAGCCAAAATCATCCTTGAGGTATTTAGAATTAGCTTAACATCTGAAACTGTTCTCAATTTAATATGTATGTTTATTTTAACTATTGAGAAATGAGATCACAGAATAACTTTCCCGGATAACCTTAGATAAAAATTTTGTCATCAATTTCCTTCAATAATGATTAAACTTCAAGCAACCAGAGCATGGCAAGAAAGGTTGGGGAATCAATGCAGATGTATCAGATTACATGTACTGATATATATGTTAGCAAAAATTGGGTTTTTCTAGGTTAATTTATTTTAATGTGGAAGCAAATATATAGAATTGAAGTTGAACTATTCATAGATTAGAAATTAAAATTTCCTGTTGAATTCCTCATCAAACAATATTTACCCATATTAATATATTATTGTGCCTATACTACAGTATTGCCTATATATATAATTACAATATTGCCTGTATTATAGTATTGCCCATATGTAGTTATTTACCCATAGTTCCTAGTGTCAGTACATCTGTTGCATATGTTTGTCTTATCACTGATATCTTCCATTGTTGTTCTGTTGCCAACACACCTTATTATACTGTTGTACTTCTTTTCTGTGGCCTTGTTGTTTTTTTTTCCTATTTTCAATTTACTTGATTTATCTGTTTTTGTCCTTTGGTTTTCCCCTTCTGTCTTAAAATATTATGTATATGCATATTTAAGTATAGGATGAGGAAATGATGAAATAACTCTTAGTTTAGAAGATTACTTTCTGCCAATATTAACATTGATAATTGATAATCTGCTGCTGTCAGTTTGCAACTATGTTCAAAGATTTCTGTGAGCAAAATCACCCATGATTAAAAAAATACCAAAGTTATATAATTTTGTAGAATTTGTAAAATCTGTTTCATTAGACTGGGTGTTCAACAGTCATCCTTGATCCTCATCCTTTATAGTTATCTTTTCCCATAGAATTTGACTATTCATAAACTTATTCTAAAACAGTTACTCTATACAACACCATTGTAACATTATTTTTAAATTCTAATCCAGCTTTTTCTTCTTTTTATTAAAAGGTAAATACTTCTCTCTCCTGTAACAATTTGTCTCAGAATTTGTGACATATAAATAGTTAAATCTTGCTTTGGTGACAATATCAATTAATTTTTAAAATCTTAATATTTCAGAAGATTGAAGAGTTAAAGAATCTATATATTGTATACAGTGGTCTCATTGGCAATCATACCACATCTTATTTTTATAGTACAGTTAGGTTATGGTCTATAGTTTCAATCTGGCATGAGTTGCTTGTTCTTATGATTCAATGACACTTAAGTCATCAATAGTTTTTTGTGACTAGATCTATATTTTTATTTACATTAAGTAATAGGTCAACTCTATTTTGTCTACAGAATTGAAAAGTGTACATGACTGTCTCAAGGGGATTGCCTCTTTTCATGGTTTTGTTATCAAAGTTAAGTTTTTTACACTAAGGTCAGTTTCTCGGATACTGTCATTAATAAATGAACAACTATAAATCTTTGCACATGTCCATCTGTTAGGTGTATCCTAAAATTTACCATTTTTATGGTATGATGATCTAGTGTTAAGTGTTATTGATTCTTAGAACTTTAGGTTAACTATATTTAGGCTAAATTTTAAGTTCAAGGTGTACTAATTGTTTGACAGGAGTCATCAGACATTGACCTCTGATCAACTTAAAAATTTTATAGATCAGAAACTATAAATAATAGATCAGATATTTTTGGTCTATAATTCTATTAAGTTGTGCTTTTTGATAGGATCACCTAACCTTGACCTCATTTTCATTGTTCTATGATCAACATTAGGTTCCATTCTTCATTCAATTTTATCAGTTCATATTAGTAAATGGTCCACTAAAATTTATTTGGTAAATAGAATAATTGTAAAGTGTTCATATTCATCTTAAAGGGGTTATTTGACTTTGACCTTTTGACCTTAGTTCATCAACCAATGTTAAATTTTCCATTAGACCTCATTCTGAAACATTATTCTGAAAGATGAATTCAGCTGGGAAAACATTTCATCATGTGCACTCATATTTTTCATAGTTTCTATATTGAAGCGAAATGTTTCAAAGTTCAAAATGAACAAATAAATGGTGAACTACTCCCTGTATAAAAATGAACTACTACAGTAATGCCACGTTGAAAACAAACATTGTTTCCTGTAAATATAAAAATAGCAAAAAAGTGAAATAATAGGGCAAATTGTAGAAGCTGTTGGAAATGAGAATCACAGAATGTTTTTACTATAACCCAATTATAAAAGCACAATTTATACATTTTAAATCTTAAGGAAGTTATTTTCTCTTAAACTTGTTAGAAGCCATTAAAAGAAATCCCTTAGCAGTTTAGTATAGATTGAAATAAACAATTAATTTCCCCAAAGGCGACAATGATAGCCTTTTTCGAGATACAGACTTTAGAAAGTTGATTTTTTTAACGAAACCTTGCTAGAATTAAAGAAAAGTTATTAGGACAGCATTTTTTGGTCCAAAAAATATAGGTTCTCGTTGCTTTCCTTAGCGTAATTTGTACTTATCTCCCATGCCTATCAATTTTGCACTTAAAAATACGTGTCTCATCCTAGCGTTTAAAAGACATCTCAGTACCGTTAGGGCTAAGGAAAATAATTTATTTGGCCTTTGGTATAATGCAGAATGCACGAAGTCTCTAATAACAAAAAATAACGGGCGCACATATCAACCAATCAGGATTAGCCATACTCTTAATTCTGAATACCATGTTATGCTCATAAAATGGCTGCGCCCATACAATCTAATGGTTGATTGTAACCTATAGACTTCTACTTGTTTTTACAGTGTGATCAGCCTGCATTCTAGGTAAGAACCATAACCTCTGTATCCCAACCTTAAGTTGTAAAAATTCCAATTTGTTTGGTTGTGAATTTTAATCTAGCTTAAGGCAGCTGTCTATTGAAAATTGTTCGGTCAGATATAATTTGATGACTCTTCTGGCATTTAACTCTTAGTTGTAAGCTGACTTCATTGAATAGATCATGAAATATAATGTAAATAAATTATATGATTTTTCATGTAATAAATTACAGTCAGTTTACTGCTTTGTTGTGTGTGTAATCAGCCAATTTAAGGATCAGAATAAAGTTGATTTTTATACCATTAAATATTTCTACTCATCTTAAATTCCTCCTTCATATTATACTTTTTATAATATATATATTCTGTAACAGTTTCTTAAATTTGAACTGCTTGGTATTAGATGTTACAAAATTTGTCATTCTTGTAAAAACAAATGGACCTTTCTGTTTACTACTTTGTCACTAAAGATGATTGAGTGAGTCTGAGTTATCTATCAGTTTCTGTTCTAGAATGATGTTTTGTTGGCAACAGTGGTACCTTTATTGAGTCTGAACTTTGTTTTTATTTTGACAGATGGATCTGTTTATAAATGATAAGCTTGATAAATTTTCACAACCAACAAATTTTAATGTCTAACATGTCACACACGCTGACCTTATTTCACACAGTTCATTGACCTACTTTTTTTTTTTATCTGAAAAGTTTTCATGTCGGGAAATTTGCACATCAACGATAAGTTTGCCTTTCACATCAATATCATTGCTTTTTACAAGCCATTCTAGCTTGTGATATTTAAGCATATTTAATGTGATTGCAAAATAAGCAAAAACAACCCCTGCATGAAAATTTCCATATTTACAGTAATACTTTCTTGTATCTGTTCAAAGCAGAATCTTTGAAGTCAGTTTTCTTCTTTTATAAGTCAGCACTAATACATGACTAACTTTGCTCCTCTTTTTTTCACTGTTCTCTAAATATCACTAAATGTACAATTTTGTGTTTAGATTGTATTTCTGATGAGGAATGTGCATCAGATGTATTGACACTTTGTTAAGTAGTCCTAACACCATCATGCCATGGGATACCAACATTTTACAGAGAGACAAAGATTGCATTTTTGAAGATGAAAAGAATTTCTGTTACTTTACAGTGTTATAACAAACCAAAATTTCATTATTAATACCCTGTATTCTTAACCCAATTTTCAAGAAAAAATATTTATTTCTGGTACAGTTTGGCTGCAGATAATCACAATTGTGTCAAGAGTGCTTCATCAACAAAGTCGCCAAATAAAATATCGATAGATATTGATAGCAAAGACAGGTAAAATTATCCCTAATCTCATCTAATCATCTCACATTAATTCACATCTCTTAATTGACTTACTCCAAAAAAATATAATGGTCTAATATCAAAGCATGCGTATAAATACATTAATTTTTTCTCTCACTTATTTCAAATCTAATAAAATAATTATTTTGATAACTTTTTCATTCAATTTCTTTGATGTTTTAGTCGCACTTTTTTTACGTCTTGTTAGTGTCTGTATTGTATGCAAGTATAGTTTGGTATAATTTTCATGAACCGCACATTGGGGAAAAAAAGAAAAAGAGAATATATGCTGATGAGACAACCCCAGATATAAAACCTCTAGAAGAATAAGTGGCATACATTGCAACATACCTATAGATCTTAAAATGACCACATACTGACCACATATCCACCTGTTCTTTGGGCTCAGATATTATTCCTGTCATCCTGTCTTTGCTGCCAGATAGAAATTGAGCAAATTACCATCAAACTGATCAATTAGGAAATTAATTTATTTAACTGCTATGTAATGAAGACAGCATAAACTCATCTGTGTTAGCAGTTGAAGTTTAAAATAAAAAATATTTAACAAAAGGAGTGTGACTCTCTCTCTCATCTTGATCAGGAGATGACTTAGTAGCAATTGACTTTTTAGCTCAGGTAGCTTTTCCCATCACTTGGCATCCATCGTCGCTGTCGTCCGTTTCTGTTATCTTTTACAAAGATCATCTCCTCTGAAACTACAAAGGCAAATTCAACCAAACATGGCCACAATCATCATTGGGGTATTTAGTTTTAAAAAATGTGTCTGATGACCCCGGCTGTCAACCAAGATGGCGGACATGGCTAAAAATAGAACATAGGGGCGAAATGTAAATTTGTACTTATTATTTTGAAAACCTCTATAAAAAATAGTATATCTGACAGGGACAGAAATGTTTAGAATGTTGAGCTCTACCTATTGTCTTTTTCAGTCAAAACTGTTAAATGACTGTTTATAGGAGTTATTGCCCAAAATGACGAATTTTACTACTTTTTTTTTAATTTTTTTCGTATTTTCTTGTAAACTGTAATAGATAGAGAGAAAATTTAAACAGCAAAATTGATCAGCAATACAAGATCTTCAAATAAGTCAATAGTGGACATCGTCAGTCAACTCTTTATTAGAGTTATTACCTTTTAACGACGATTTTTACCAATATTTTTGCCATTTTGCCTCAAATCTTAAGAATTACAATAGATAGGTAGAAACTTTAAACAGCAAAAGGTGATCAGCAAGACAAGATCTACAAATAAGTCTAATGGTCAAATTCTTCAGTCCACTGGTTATTGAATGAATTGTTCTTTAATGATGATTTTTACCAATTATTGCATTTTTTGCCTATTTTCTTGAAAACGATATAAGATAGATAGAAACTTTGAATAACAAAATCATCAAGACAAGATCTACAAACAGGTTAAATTCTGTTGAAAAGTGAGGAGATAGGAGTAATTGCCCTTAAATGATGATTTTTATTTACCCTCTATTGTGTTTTGGGCAAGAACTAAATAAGATAGAGAGAAACTGGAAACAGTAGTCTACAATGTTGAAGATTCACATATACCTAGGTGAGTGTCACACAGGCTCTTTAGAGCCTCTAGTTAAAAACTTGCTGGGATTTCAGTAGCAGATGAATAAACAATTGATCAGTTTGGTTTAATGTTTCAAACAGCAATTTTGTAAAAAATGTATTTGACTACAAAAAAAAAAAGAAAACAGTAATATTTACTGTCAAGCCACAGTAAAGCTAAGAGGTAATTGGCCAGTTTAAAGTTTAAGAATCAAGTTATTTGATTAGAATGTTGTGGGCTAAAATCAACATACTCATGATACTGTAGTAAATTATAAGTTTCCATGCAGCATCCTGCCAATAAGCTCCAGAGGCATGCATCACATACTTCTGTGTCCACATTTTATTTTTCCAATTCAAATTTTACATTTAAAACACCATTATAACGATTTGAAATAAGAATATTAAATTCTGATCAATCAGTATGCATTTAAGGGTTGTATATATCTGTCATCTAAATAAAGCAGGTCATGCACAACTTGCTATTTTAGGTGATAATGCATGTTTAATCCATTTGTATTACTAAACACAAATTTCTATTCTATTTGAACAACATATTAGTTAGATTAGGCTTCTACTTTTGGTGTAAAGATGTGTATTTTTATAGCTTGGCTGCATTGATATGCTAGTCATATAATGCTTTGATGTATATGTCAATTGGTTCGCTCTACTTCAGGTTAAGTTTAATTGTGTTTGAAAAGTTAGCAATGCCAATATGTCATTTTCTTCAACATCAGATAATGTCTGCATGTCAGAAGATCAAGAAAATTGAAGGAATAACTATTACTCAAAGCAACTTTTTTATTTTATGGTTGTTGACAGTTTTACAAACTTGATATCTCTGTCTTGAATGGATGATCTCTACATTGATAGCAACTCTCATATGATACACTGGTTAAAGAACAATTGTTACAAATTGACATCATTTATCTCTTGTCTGCCAGTTTTACAAAACATTGATACACTGGTTAAAGAACAATTGTTACAAATTGACAGCATTTATCTCTTGTCTGCCAGTTTTACAAGACATTGATACACTGGTTAAAAAACATGTTACAAATTGACAGCATTTATCTCTTGTCTGCCAGTTTTACAAAACATTGATACACTGGTTAAAGAACAATTGTTACAAATTGAAAGCATTTATCCCTTGTCTGCCAGTTTTACAAAACATTGATACACTGGTTAAAGAACAATTGTTACAAATTGAAAGCATTTATCTCTTGTCTGCCATGTTTTACAAAACATTGATACACTGGTTAAAAAACATGTTACAAATTGAAAGCATTTGTCTCTTGTCTGCCAGTTTTACAAGACATTGATACACTGGTTTAAAAACATGTTACAAATTGAAAGCATTTATCCCTTGTCTGCCATGTTTTACAAAACATTTTGAAAATCCAAAGCAAATAACAGTAATGAATATTCTTGTTTTCTATGATTGATTGATTAATTTAAAGGTATTTTAAACTTTGTACAGATACATTGTATCAATTTTAGACATATATTGTTAGTATAATGTACCACATGTGTTCAGTGTAGATCCAATATAATCTCTGACTTTGACCTTCAAGTTCAAATCTTGTCAATTCAACAGAAAATGAATAATGAGTAATTTTACCAGTAAAAATAACAAATTTTTTAAATAGCTTATGCAGTGCAATGTACTTGTGACCATACCAAGGTATTTTATTGGAAAAAGTGGTTTTGAAAATGCAAAACAGCATTTATGTGATCATAAATTGTTTAGTTGACTAATTCTGACAAATAAATTGCATATAAACTACTGAAACATATGGATTTTCTGTTACCTTAGATTTTTTATGCCCCAGCTATGATAGTAGAGGGGCATTATGTTTTTCGGTCTGTGCATCCGTTTGCTCGTCCATCCGTTCGTCCGTAATTGTCCTGCTTCAGGTTAAAGTTTTTGGTCAAGGTAGTTTTTGATGAAGTTGTCAGAAGTCCTTTCAACTTGAAACTTAGTACACATGTTCCCTATGATATGATCTTTTTAATTTTAATGCCAAATTAGAGTTTTGACTCCAACTTGACGGTCCACTGAACATAGAAAATGATAGTGCGAGTGGGGCATCTGTGTACTATGGACACATTCTTGTTGATGACTAAAACAACTCAATAGTTACATCTTAACCACAAGAAAAAAAAATATGTTCTATAACATTTAATTCAAATAGTATTAAGATGTTCAAAGTATTGGCCCATATTAGACCCTTTATATCAGAAATATTATTGAAATCCTGGGATTTTGCAAAACATTCTAATGAATCCAAATGTTCAAATAAGGGCTGCAGTTCTGGTGTATCTTAGGTACCATCTTGAAGGGAAATGTAAGTGAATACATTATGATCAGTGCTTAGGTAGGTCAGTTTGACCATTCAGATTTGCATGAAAGTAAAATCAGAATTCCTTTGTCACATGCAATAACGGGTGATTTACATTGACTGATTTGTTGGTTTATGGTTGCTTTATTAATATCATCTTCGCTAGCCAAGGGTTACGATCTGGCCACTTGTCTCATAGATTGCAAATTCTGGCTTGACCTGTCGAAGGGGAGAGGAGGGTTCTGGATCGTAACTCTTGGCTAGCAAAGATGACTGAATTAATATTCACTTTCAAATATTTTGGGCATATTCAGGAGAAAACAGACAAATAGATGAAAATTAGCAAGTAGTTCAGCATAATTAAAGCAAAAGAACAGTTTAACTCACTATTCAGGCCACATTGTGTTTGGAATTAGATGTGATTGACCTACTTCACACATTACATTTTTTACTGATTTGTATGATTGATTCATCCAATGCAGTATATTTGACCATACATTATTTGATCAATTGAATAATAGGGAAAGCTTTTGAATAATAATGTAAAGTTATACAGGTGAGTAGACTGGGATTGTTTTGGTCAACAAGTTGATGAGTTTGTTTACTGATAACATGAATCTTTTGTAAATGCTTTAGGTCATGTAACAACCACATAGAAAACTACACAGAAAATCATACAAAACTTGTTACAAGCCAGTTTTTTATTGAAAATCACAGGTATAGATAGTGTGTGTAGTGCTAAGTAAATTAGGCAGTTTAGTTTATTTACTAGGTTGATTGTCAATCAAATTGATGTCACATCTGCTCATAGATGATTGTTTTACTATACATTTTCTGTATTGTCCATAACTTTGGTTGAAGCAGATAGATGCTAGAATGTGTATTTGTTTGTTGATCTGAAACAGAGGGTTTCATAATTCTAAGAAATTAACTTATAGAATAAAACCTTCTTTTCAAAATGTTTGTCATGGGTACTATTACACATTATATAAATAACACATAGCTGAGAGGGTGATAGAGCAGATTGTTACCCCGAGAAAACATTGTCAACTGAGGCCAAGCCAAGGTTGACAATGTCTTTCGAGGGGTAACAATCTGCTCTATCACCCTCTCAGATATGTGTTATTTAATTTATTATACTGAATGTTCTGTTATTACTGTCTATTAAATTTCAAATTCAAAGTAATGACGTCTTGTACATAACAACCATTTGTATTCAATAAAGAGCACACTTGATCAAGCGTCTCCATGAAGGGTAATAGAGTAAATTAACACCCTCGTATTAGCCAATCAAAATATGGCATTTTAACGTGAACGGTGAAGTATAATAAATTATTTTGTTACTTGTAAGTTGTAAATAGATAAATAGGAAAAACAACCCTTGATATTTTTGGTAAAAGAGTCATAATTTAAAAAAAACTGGTTCAGTTCAATTTTATTCTCCCTACATACTTGTAATAGTTAAAAAGCAAAACAGCAATGTTATTTGGGGGAACAAATGTCCTCTTTATGATTTGAGAAATTGCTAACAGATCAGAAACGTAATAAGTTTGAATTAAAATTGGGAATCATTTTTTCTTCAGGATCCTGAACAATTTGCAAAATTAGTGCTTTCTTTATTAATTTTTTTATTGCACAGAACACCAGATATATTTGGGATATTGCTGCTTAACTTCACATTCATTCCCATGAGTTATGCCCCTTTAAGATGTATACAGACCCTACTTTGATATTTAGATAAGCATTTGTGGCTGTACATCGTTTGATTCTCACTTACTTCATACAACAATGGTTGCACTTTTGTTTTTATATCTCTGACTTCAATTTCATAATTTATTAAGCTTATCTTTGATAGTATAGACTAGTTTGCTTTCTACATCATGATGAATTTTATTTTATTTGCACTTGGATACATCTATTTCTGCTGCTGATTTCTATAATTCCCTGTCTAGCAAAATATTTAGTGTCTACATGTTTATGCCAGAGATGTACTCACAAAGTGAGCTGTTAAAAGTAACTGAATATTCAAGATACTAATAGAATAGAGAATGGATATGGGAAATGTGTCAAAAGAGACAACAACCCAACCAAAGATCAGAACACAGCCCAAGGCCACTAATTGGTGTTCAATAATATATGTTTAATGATTGATGTTAATGTATTAGATATTACTGTTTGTATGTTTAGGTTTATTGAGAGGGATTGTGGATTCAAACCACTAGTGAGAAAGCTAGGAATATTTAGGTTTATTGAGAGGGATTGTGGATTCAAACCACTAGTGAGAAAGCTAGGAATATTTAGGTTTATTGAGAGGGACTGTGGATTCAAACCACTAGTGAGAAAGCTAGGAATATTTAGGTTTATTGAGAGGGATTGTGGATTCAAACCACTAGTGAGAAAGCTAGGAAACTACAGTATCAGTTATAGTTACTTGTAGTACATTTTCTTTTTTATTACTTCACAGCACTTATTAGACTAAAGTCTTTTGTTTTATTATGAATTAGTTTGGTATTGTTACGTAAGTGTTCAAAGTAAATAAACTCTTTGTGCATACTGCCATTCAACAAGGATGATTTATAAAATCTTGATTCACCATAATAAGGTAGTCCTTTATGTAACATTGACCTTCTTTATTAACTTTGGAGTTTGGTAATTTGTCAAGATGTTTTTTTTCTGGTTCATAACTTCATAATGATTTTTTTTATTGGTTTAGTAATCTTTGTGAACGATTTGAGTTGGTTTAAAGTATATGTATATTATGTTACTGCTTATTAATTTTTGTCTATCAAATTACAACTTATCATATCTAATATTGGGAGATACTTGTGTGTTAATGTTAAAGATACAGATCTCAATTTGACCAAGCTATATTACAATATCTTAGCTAAATAAATAAGATATACCAGATTTTGGAAACAGTAATACAGTAAAAGCTTTGCTTTTTTTTGCTTGACTCTTACCACTACAAGCATTTCTTGCTGAATCAACATCAAACAATAATTGATCTATGTATTGTTTATCTTTCTGTTTTCCTATGTGAATCTTAACTTCAAGATATATATGTATTCTGAAAATGAATGAAGTATAGTAACTTTACAAATATTACATATGATATATATATATATATATATAGCATAGTTTATTGTATCAATTCTGATACATTTCCCCTGTATGTTATGCATGGGAAGATGAGGACTCAAGATTTCTTGTCTACAGAAAAATAATTGAGCTTGTTAGTTATATTCACCTCAATGGCCATTAAACTATGTAACATTGTATTTCAAATGAGCGAAAATGTATTACATAACTATGTTTTATCATTCAATAGTATAATTAACTCAAGGTTTTTCTAGATAAGTACATCTGTTAGATTTATATGACTAATGCAGTAAATAATGTGACAATGCTATTTATATTTGCAGTGACCAGACAGACACAGAGAGTATAGACAGTAAACATGGAGTGTCCAAACAAGGTGATACTAAGGTGTTTGCTAGAGCAAGGTTTGTATATATAGCACTAACCTAATCAATCATTCAGTCAAATACAATTTTATTAGAGTATTCTCAATCTATAAGAAACATTAAGTAGCATTTACTTCTTTTTATGCCCCTGCTGTGGCGAAGGGAGCATTAGGTGTTACCCTTGTCCGACCGTACGTCTAAAAAATAGTTTCCATTCTCTAACTTAAGCCTCAACCAAATTTTATGACACTTATACACAATGCTTATTACCACAAAACACAGATCAAGTTAGAATTTTGGTGGCGTCACTTTTACTGTTCGGAAGTTATGTCCCTTTATAATGTTATATGCAAGCGTGACATGGGACACATTCTCCATATATTTTGTAAAGATTTAACACTTTTAGATAAATTGAGGTATTTTCCTCCTTATTCAATAATAACACTATTAATACCTGTAATTTATATAATTTGAACATTAGAATTTTAAATCATCGAAGGAGGTAAATCCACAATATATACAATATATGCATCCTGTATTCTTTGGATGATGTTTTATTTGTGTTGATCAATTTATATATACAGATTAGTTGGTCACAATCATTTGTCACACTATTCTATATATTATCTGGCAGTTTCATGTCAGATATAATGCTTAATCACTAAGGAAAGTAGGAGATGATAATACTTTTCTTGCTTTTTTTTTGTTCATCCATCATAGAATATTTATCAGTCAATAACTTGTTTACTAATATTGCAAAAATAAAAATGCCTTTGTCGAAATATAGATTTTGCTACCAAAACCATATACATGAAACGTTTTATTTCATAAACTGTAAATATGTTATGTGCATTCCCCTATCACACTGAAAAAATAGACAACAGCAAAAGTAGGCGAGACACTGTGTTCCTCAGAACCCTTACAAATTTTTATATTTCTTGGTGCTAAAAGGATTTAAAACTGATCCAGTAGCACTGATATTTCTGTGCTGAGGGTTAATTTTGTGGTAGAAACACAGCCAGTTTTCCCAAAGTGTTATCATAAACCTTTAGCAATGTAAAGTAATTGTAAAGTGCTTAGATGGAACAGCTTTATTCAGGTGACTTAAATTAATCTGAATTCAACCTGATAAATTTGAAATAGTGTTGACCAATTGGAAATAAATTGGTTTACTTATGTTTGGTTTTAGCTTAAGCATATGTTCAGTTCATAAAGTCAGTCCAAGCAGTAATCAAGTCAATTGTTATATATTTTACACTAAAGATTCACATGCCAAATATATGAATATGAGTGTATTTTGTTATAACCTTCATATCTTACTATTTCTTTGCACTATTACATATGAAATACCCAATTCAGCACACAAACAGATTACTCTTGTTATCAACATGATAAAAGTTTAAAATAGATGGAATGTAATTTTTGGACCAAATTCAGAAGAATATTAGACAAGGAGATGCAAGACTATTTTTTTCCCTCAAAAATAAAGCCCTTTTTTTAAGGCAATATAAAAAGACTTGATATTATTCCATTATATCTGAGTTTCCAGGAAATTTATTTTTGTTACTTTGTGGCAAGACATATCTCAGTTTAATAAAAACTTCTCAATGATATGCAGCCTAAATTAGAAAGACTAATAATGTTCAAAATAACATCTATAAAACTGTTTCTGATTTAAACCTATGTGAATGGATTTTTGTGCAACAGCCGAAAAACAAGATTGATTTAATGTTTTTGTTTTCTTTTACTTTTTACTTACTGCATACCACTACAATTTTTGGGTAAGTGTAATAAGTTAAATGGGTATCATCAGGCAATACAATTTTTATTTTGTATTGATATATTGTAATTATTTGTTACATGTAATTTGAAGTTAGTACTTTGGTATAATTAATTATTTTTAAGGAGAGAACATGCAAAGTGTCATGTTGAATATCTATCTTCACCTTTACAATTAGATACAATTTCCTTTTATGAAATCAGGTGTGGGGTAAACATGACATTTATTTCTTCTTGATTAAAGATTTAATCAAATTGTTTATAGTAGATATTAATGTATCTTAATTTTGTACTGAGAAGTAATCAGTTTTGAAATAAATGTCATTGTAGAGATAGTTGGTTCATTACAAAAATTATCAGTCAGAAATTTACTTTGAAGTGATAAAAACTTCTCATATCTCTATTTCTTCCCTCATTTGAACCAAAGTTAATGTATATTGTATTGTTTGTTGTTTGTATGCTTTAAATAGCTTTATGTATCCAACCACATGTAACTGATTGACTACAGTATTGTAAATCAGCAGGTCAGACAATTGTAGGGTGCTATCTGTTATTAATGCAGGTTCTGCAAAAGTAATGTTTCAATTCTAATGGTTCAAACTGGATAATTAAAACACCATAGATTACATTGATATTATTTCCCAACTGATTCTTGAGAGAGTACAATGTTCACTTTTAGCAATATGTGTCCTTGAATTTACTTTATCATAAAATACATGTATCAAAAAGGCCAAAATTTTGTTCTAAAATGGGTCTTTTTCAAATGCATGATTTCTAAGTAAAACAAATTTTGGGGCTCTATGTTTTGTGGACTGTGTGTGAAGCAGTTTGTTCATTCTTCCGTATCATAACAAGTTTTGGTTTCAGGTAGTTTATTAAGAAGGTATGGTCACACCAACTTGAATTTAAGTACACGTTCATTAAGATTGGAACAGTTTAAAATATATGCCAGATTAGAGTTTTGACCTACATTTGGTGGTTTACTGAACATGGAAATGTGATAGCGCTAGCAGGCATGGTGTTTAATGGGCATATATTCTTGTTATCTCATACCATGTATGTGCTTATATTACCATTGGGGAAATAATTATGTATGTTAGTCAAGTTTGTAATTTTATTCCATGTGTGATGAATTACTTCTCCCTGAATCATTTCAGTAAACCTGCAAGACCCCTGCATTCAAGGGCAAAGTAAGAGGATGTATTTGTTAATGTTTGTTCATGTATTAGTTCATGTTTATTGCTATTCTTATTATTAAGCATGTATTTGTTCTTAGCAATTACTGAAAGGAGTAAATTCTATATAGGTGCTCGCTAGTCAAGCTGTCATTATTATTAACAATGCTGTTATTTTTTGCTCCGAAATGATTTGTTCTAGAGGTCATTTAGAATGTGAATGAGGATATGGAGGTTAAGTTATGTACAATAATGTATTCAAATAACATAGAAGTACTGGTCATCATGATATTAATGATTAACTTTTGTACAAATTTGATTAAAATTGCACAATATAAAAATAAGGAGATGTGGTACGATTGACAATGAGACATCTAGATATCTGACAGAGTCAAAATGAAGTGCATGTAAGCAGCTATAGGTCACCTTATGACCTTCAACAATGAGCAACTCAATTTTGAACTCAGCTTAATGACTGCACTTTTAAATATCTCCTTTAATCTAATATCTTGTTATCTGTTGATTATATGATGCATTGTTGTCAACAACTGATCAATTTTTTATGTAACAAATATGATTAGAATTGAAGAGTTACATGCATGTAATTGGCATCATTTAAACATTTATAACAGTAAACAACCTTAGCCTTGTTATTTAGTCATTTGAGTGATTTTAAATTTCTTTAATTGCTCTAGTGCCACAATTAAAAGAAGGTTTGAGGTAAACGTATTTATGTCTAACATTATAAGTTCACCAAAAAATATAAATGGTATACAAAAAACCAGGAGACAGCAACAGATAATGTTGGTAAACGGTGTATGATAAATGATGTGGGTAAATGGTGTATGATAAATGATGTGGGTAAATGGTGTATGATAAATGATGTGGGTAAATGGTGTATGATAAATGATGTGGGACATTGTGGGTAAATGGTGTATGATAAATGATGTGGGTAAATGGTGTATGATAAATGATGTGGGTAAACGGTGTATGATAAATGATGTGGGTAAATGGTGTATGATAAATGATGTGGGTAAATGGTGTATGATAAATGATGTGGGTAAATGATGTATGATAAATGATGTTGGTAAATGGTGTATGATAAATGATGTGGGTAAATGGTGTATGATAAATGATGTGGGACATTGTGGGTAAATGGTGTATGATAAATGATGTGGGTAAATGGTGTATGATAAATGATGTGGGTAAATGGTGTATGATAAATGATGTGGGTAAATGGTGTATGATAAATGATGTTGGTAAATGATGTATGATAAATGATGTTGGTAAATGGTGTATGATAAATGATGTGGGACATTGTGGGTAAATGGTGTATGATAAATGATGTGGGTAAATGGTGTATGATAAATGATGTGGGTAAATGGTGTATGATAAATGATGTGGGTAAATGGTGTATGATAAATGATGTGGGTAAATGGTGTATGATAAATGATATGGGACATTGTGGGTAAATGGTGTATGATAAATGATGTGGGACATTATTGTGGGTAAATGGTGTATGATAAATGATGTGGGTAAATGGTGTATGATAAATGATGTGGGTAAATGGTGTATGATAAATGATGTTGGTAAATGATGTATGATAAATGATGTTGGTAAATGGTGTATGATAAATGATATGGGACATTGTGGGTAAATGGTGTATGATAAATGATGTGGGTAAATGGTGTATGATAAATGATAATGGTAAAAAGGCATAATCAAAATCAAGCCAGAAGAATTTCGTAAGGAGAATGGGATATAGTGCAAAACTGAGAGTAAATGTGTGCTAAAAATATTCTAACATTAAAAAAATAGAACAAGTTCACAAATGTTATAAAGTCATGACTTTTTGGTGTGTATCTAAGTCTTCAATGTAAACATCAAATGATAACATGGCCTTGATATCCTCTATTCACTACAAAATAAACTACGGTTTGTAAGTTGACCATTGTACAAATATAATGACAGCTTTACATTTTCTATAGATAGCATGAATAGTAGGTATAAGTCATTAGTCATTCCTCTTTTTGCATATTCATTGAAATTTAATGGGAAATTTATATTAATGTATTGATTTTCCATTTCTTTTTATGCTTCCGTTTGGACCAACTCAGATTCAGGTGAATAAATTACATATCAAATGATTTGCCTGTAGTTCATCATTATTATCACTTTTAAAGAAATTCTATAATAATGCATTTTTATAGGAAATAAAGAATTTAAATTATTTGGGACAAATACCTGTAAAGATAAAGATAATTTAAGTAGATTGTTTAATGAGCTTTGAAAATCAATTATATACTCTTTATTGTATGTTGATCCATTAGCTGTGTAATTTAATTTGACTAAAGATTTAAAGATACATGACATGGTTGAATTGCTGAATTATAGTCAAGGTTATCTTAATCATTCTTTACATAAAAAATCTGGGATTTAATGCTTAACCAATAGCTGTACCAAGGAGGGGGATAAATTCTTTTTAAGTGTTGTTTCTTTTTGTAATTCAAGTCGAGCAAGAGTTATTCCCCCTTTTTTTTTAGCTCACCTGGCCCATAGGGCCAAGTGAGCTTTTCTCACTTGGCGTCCGTCGTCCGTCGTCGTCTGTTTTACAAAAATCTTCTCCTCTGAAACTACTGGGCCAAATTCTACCAAACTTGGCCACAATCATCATTAAGGTATTTAGTTTACAAAAAATGTGTCCGATGATCCCGGCCCGCCAACCAAGATGGCCGCCATGGCTAAAAATAGAACATAGGGGTAAAATGTAGATTTTGGCTTATATCTCTGAAACCAAAGCATTTAGAGCAAATCTGAAATGGGGTAAAATTGTTCATAAGGTCAATATCTATCTGCCCTGTAATTTTCAGACAAATCAGACAACCCCTTGTTGGATTGCTGCCCCATAATTGGTAATTTGAAGGAAATTTTGCAGTTTTTGGTTATTATCTTGAATATTATAAAAGATAGAGATAAACTGTAAACAGCAAAAATATTCAGCAAAGTAAGATCTACAAATAAGTCAAATGACCTAAATTGTCAATTGACTACTTAAGGAGTTAATGCCCTTTAAAGTCAATTTTTCACAATTTTTCGTAAATTTTTGTGATCTTTTACAAAAATATTCTCCTCTGAAACTACTGGGCCAAGTTAAACCAAACTTGGCCACAATCATTACGGGTATCTAGTTTAAAATATGTGTCCGATGACCCCGCCTGCCAACCAACATGGCTGCCATGCCTAAAAATATAACATAGGGGTAAAATGCAAGTTTTGTCTACAATTTTGAAAACTGTCATGAATAGAGAAAATCTGACAAGGGCAGAAATGTTCAGAATGTTGAGCTCTACCAATTGTGTATATACTTCAAAACTGTCAGATGATTTCTTATATGAATTATTGCCCTAAATGACAAATTTTACCTTTTTTTTTCATTTTTGCCTATTTTCTTGAAAACTATAATAGAGAGAGAGAAACTTTAAATTACAAAAATTATCAAGACATTTTCTACAAATAAGTCTGCATTGTCTAAATCGTCAGTCAACAACTTATTAGAGTTATTGCCCTTTGATCTCGATTTTTACCAATTTTTTGCGTTTTTGCCTTATATCTTAAAAATTATAATAGATAGATTAAATAAGCATAAGTCATGGACTACAATTAAGACAATATAGAGGAAATTGTTCTACAATTCCTTATTGGAGTTATTGCCCATTAATGACGATTTTCACCATTTTTTTTAATTGCAATGCCTTATATGATAAAATTATAATAGATAAATATACACTTTAAATCACAAACATGAGCAGCAAGTCAAGATCTACTAACAATTAAATTTTGCTGATATAGTTATTAGACTGTCACTCTTTATAGGAGTGATTGCCCTTAATTTTTAACCCTCTTTTGAGTTTTGAGCAAAAATTAAAGAAGATAGAGAGAAACTTAACAGACTAAATGATCAGCAATACAAAGTCAACAAAACAGATTTTTGTCATGAATTCTATTCTCGTCTTTAATGTTGGAGAGTGTCCTTTGTTGACTATGCACATAGACCAAGGTGAGCGACACATGCTCTTTAGAGCCTCTAGTTTAAAGATATTTTTATATAGCAGTTTTTATGCTCCTGCTGAGAGTTCAGTTGACGTTGGCTAATGGTTTTACTCTCGTATGTTCATCCTTTGATTTCTGTCCATGGATCCTATAAGCATGATATGTCCTTTATCATCCATGGAAACAGAAATTGAAACATATGTTATATGTATTTTTTTAAATTCAGTAATTGTGTCATGTTTCATTTTGTGTTATTCTTGTAATTGTCAATTAGCATTATTATTGCAATTTCAGTCTTCCAATATTTCCTCTATGTTACATATTATAAATACCTTTTCTCTTAATCTACCAATTATGCCTGTTATAGATTTGTTTTGGGGGCTATGTCCCAATATTTTATTATTACATGCACTTCAATTTTTATTCCAAAATGTCTTTTTAAGCTGCATGAGTATGTAAATACATCATATGCTTTATTTCTATGCACATGTTCAGTATACCTTAGGTGCATTAGTTCTACTGGTACAGAATTTACCTTTGCATGTTTTATACCATCTGGGTAAAACTCTGTTAGCTAGCTGTTGGTATACTTGGATCAAATGTATTCTTTATATATCCTATAAGAGTATAAAATCACTATAAATCAGTCATTTTTTGTCATTTTGCTCTTACCACCAACCCAAATTTTATATTTTCAGGAAAGGGTTGTCAGGCACTAACATGTAATTTGTAACAATAAAATTTTATTGAATGAATACAGCTTTTTTTAATAAAAAAGAAATAAACAACTAATGGAATCCAAAGATATTTCACTTCCTATGAAAAAATTGGAACATTGCTGTAAATAATGTGATGTCCATATTGTTGCTAATTGTTGTTCATTTTTGCACTTTTTATTTTTAGAAGCAAATTATTACACTCTGAACTCCTTAAAACCCCAAAATGAATGATTGTTATATTGCAGGTTTCGCCATGCAGTTGTAAGTGCTATGACTGGACATAAACCTACAAAGAGACATGGCAGTGCTGGTAAGACAAGGATGTCTGATATTGTGTCTGCTGTACAAGGCATTCAGGATGTCTCTAAGAAAGGTCTCATGCCTAGCTGTAAGTACATATCATATATACACAAGTATTTGCTTTGCACTGCATTTCATATATATTTTCCAACAAGGTTCAAACCTTGTATAATTGTCAGCTACAACTTTTGGACATTTTGGTTTAAAAATAAGATGTGGTATAATTGCCAATGAGACAACTCTCCACCAGACACCAAATAACATAGAAGTTAACAACTATATAGGTCACCGTACGGTCTTCCACAATGAGCAAAACCCATACCGCATAGTCAGCTATAAAAGGCCCTGAAATGACAAATGTAAAATGAATCAAGCGAGAAAACTAACGACTTGATTTATGTACAAAATAATGACTGGAAAACGAATATGATATACAGCAACAAATGACAACCACTGAATTACAGGCTCCTGACTTTGTCTTAATTTATGTTGTATCATTATGGATAAAAAATATTAATCGCTATCTTTAGGAAAACTCCACAAGTGTAAGGTGACTTATATAACTGTATAAAGTATTCAGTAAAAACAAAATCATATAACTGTATAAAGTATTCAGTAAAAACAAAATCATATAACTGTATAAAGTATTCAGTAAAAACAAAATCATACTTTTATCATTGAATACAAAAATGTTAAATGCATCTAGTTTCACTTTATACTAGTATGGATGATTAAATGCATCTAGTTTCACTTTATACTAGTATGGATGATTAAATAGCATCTAGTTTCACTTTATACTAGTATGGATGATTAAATAGCATCTAGTTTCACTTTATACTAGTATGGATGATTAAATAGAAACTTTTATGTACTTTTATTCATCAAAAGTCGAAAGGAAAGGAAATAAATGTTTCAGAAAAAAAAACAGTATTCAAGTTTTCAGTGTGAATTTTTTTAAATGCTCGTTACTTATAGCCAAAAATCTAGGTGCTCTGTTTTACTTTCCTTATATAGATGGTAAGTAAGCCAATGTTGAAGTTTGTTTTAGTTATGTTTGTTCAAATTGTAAACATGAAAACCAATTAGTATAATTCTCAGTAATTAAAAATACTAAATATTGATATACTAGTATCTGCATTTCATGAGTTATTTATGTCCATTATATGTACTTAGTTTTCATTTAAAAGCTTATTGGAATTTTAGTAAGTTATTTTATTTTTGGTGAAAGAAACAGTTGTTTTGCAATGAGGAGTTTATTTTCATTCTGTTTGTATCATGTAATAAATGCTTGAGGTTACAGCATGTAGCATGGAAGCACTGCTATGCAGATCATTTTTATGTGAAGACCATATTGGTTCTAAAAATCATATTGAGTAGAAGCATTTTTGAAGAAATGATTTTTGTCGAGCCTGCGACTTTTGTCGCAGAAAGCTCAACATAGGGATAGTGATCCGGCGGCGGCAGCGGCGTTAGCTAACTTCTTAAAAGCTTTATATTTTAGAAGGTGGAAGACCTGGATGCTTCATACTTTGTATATGGATGCCTCATGTTACGAAGTTTCCGTCAGTCACATGTCCAATGTCCTTGACCTCATTTTCATGGTTCAGTGACTACTTTAAAAAAAAGTTAACATTTTTTGTAATGTTAAATTCTCTCTTATTATAAGTAGTAGGATAACTATATTTGGTATGTGCGTACCTTGCAAGGTCCTCATGCCCGTCAGACAGTTTTCACTTGACCTCGACCTCATTTCATGGATCAGTGAACAAGGTTAAGTTTTGGTGGTCAAGTCCATATCTCAGATACTATAAGCAATAGGTCAAGTATATTCGGTGTATGGAAGGACTGTAAGGTGTACATGTCCAACTGGCAGGTGTCATCTGACCTTGACCTCATTTTCATGGTTCAGTGGTTATAGTTAAGTTTTTGTGTTTTGGTCTGTTTTTCTTATACTGTATGCAATAGGTCTACTATATTTGGTGTATGGAATGATTGTAAGGTGTACATGTCTAGCTGGCAGGTGTCATTTGACCTTGACCTCATTTTCATGGTTCAGTGGTCAAAGTTAAGATTTTGAGTTTTTGTCTTTTTTTCTAATACTATATGCAATAGGTCAACTATATTTGGTGTATGGAAATATTTTATGATCTATATGTCAGTCGCGCAGGTTTTATTTGACCTTGACCTCATTTTCACAGTTCATTGCTCAGTGTTAAGTTTTTGTGTTTTGGTCAGTTTTTCTTAAACTATAAGCAATAGGTCAACTATATTTGTTGTATGGAAGAATTGTTAGCTGTACATGCCTGCCTGGCTTGGTTCATTTGTCAATGTTTAGTTTACTTGGTTAATGTTAAGTTTATGTGACAGTTGTAATAAAGCTTTATATTAAGGACTATCAACATAATATCAGTGATTAGTAAAGAAGGCGAGACATTTCAGTGTGTGCACTCTTGTTATATTTGCATTGAATTATGTTTTTGGTTGAAGTCTTGTGAGGTTTGTCACATTGGGTTTCATTTCACCATTTATTGTTACAATTTGAAAAAGCCTCCCAAAAAACAAAAACAAAACAATTATTAAAACATAAATTTCAATTCAGAGATTTGCAGTTTTTATTTCTGCGAAAAATTGGTTGATATAGTCAATTGATTTTGTCAGTTTTTATGAACTTCCCCTTTTTGAATTTAACTTGGAGTTGTTATTTTTGTTAATACCTATTTCACATATAAGTACATATATAAGACTGTTTACACTAGGGAAAAAAATGCATCTTAAGTCTAAAATAAACAGGAAAGATCAATCTTCCATCAGACTAATAAAGTTTGTCTTGCTTGAACAAAATTTATCTGTGAACTGGTCTATTTATGTAAGATTGAATCAAAGAAGATCAGTTCAATTTTTGTGCAAGAGTAAAATGTGTCAAAGTACTTTTAGCTTCAATCTTGATAGCATTACTTGTATGTATTATTTCATGAAATCACACTAATTAATCTTACTTTCATTCTCTGCTCAACAGTCTCAATGATAAAGGCACATAACAATTTCTGAATTTGCAGTATTGTCAGAAAATGTATCATTAATTGCAATATAATATTTGAATTATGACATAATATTTGCTTAAGCCTTTTCCATAGGATCTGTATCTAAAATCATAAATAGATACATGTAATTCCCATTACTGAGAAGTTGGTGAGAAGTAGATTTGCCTTTGATCATTTTAAAGTACTACCATATTTGTTTTTCATAAACTAATTACAGTCTCTTTACTTCTAAACCACCTCGGTAGTCTCGTGGTAGAGTGTTTGCCTCGAGTGCGAGAGGTCGTGGGTTCTAACACCGGCCAGGTCAAACCAAAGACTTCAATATTGGTATTTGCTGCTTCTCTGCTAAGCACGCATGTAGGAGTAAGAGCAAAGACTGGTCGGCTTGGAGTCAGAATAATGTGCCCAGGTAAGGTGACATGTCTTCCTGTGGACTGTTACCTTGTGAACTAGCACATTAAAAATCCTGCTCAGGGTGTCGGTCTAGTACAAAGCAGGGTAAATATTCATATTACAACTAACATTTTCTCGTCCTGAATATGCATATTAATTTGCAGCTGAACGCTAAGCAGCCATCCATCGTCATCTTTACTTCTCAATTATTTCTAACAAAATTGAGTTATTCAAAATTTTGTCTGGTAGAAAGCCACAAAAGAAGATGGTGTTTAAGACCAATTTTTCATCCTATAGATAGAAAATAAAAAAGTATAATGTATCTATCAAATAACATGCTTCAGATGTTTGCAAGACTGTTCTGTACGATATCTGGATTCATATTTTTAATTCTGTCCTAGTTGTTTGGTATGGACTTCAAACCATATGCTTACAATGCAAAACAGTAATGCAAAAACTGACGAAAATAACCTCATTTTATGAGCTTGTCATTAATATTGATTATGTAGAAATGAGCCGAAGTCTCACCTTAAAAGATGGTTTGGTACAAGATGTTTTATACAAAGATGTAAATGTATGTAAAAAATCATTTTTGGTAAGGCCTTGGCTCATATTTAATATGTTAAAAACTATATTTGAATTGACTCAATTTTAGATCAAATATGTCAATTTCAACATGTAAATGTCTTCACTGTGACATCACAACATGTGTATGTCTTCACTGTGACATCACAACATGTTTATGTCTTCACTGTGACATCACAACATGTTTATGCCTTCACTGTGACATCACAACATGTTTATGTCTTCACTGTGACATCACAAAATGTGTATGTCTTCACTGTGACATCACAGCATGTGTATGTCTTCACTGTGACATCACAACTGATGTTTCTGTACTAAAGTTTCAATATTTTATCCTTCTATTAATTTCTTGCACAACTATCATTATTATACCCCACGCAACGAAGTTGCGGAGGGTTTAATCATTAATGTTTTTCACCCGTCAGTCTGTCAGTCCTGTTCTTGTCATCGCAACTCCTCTGAAACCGCATAACAGAATTTTATGAAACTTTGTAGATAATAAGGACATACTATGTAGATTTGCATATCAACAGAAAATTACGATTCAATTTTTTTTCTAGGAGTTATGCCCCTTTAACTTAGAATTTTGGTCAGTCCTGTTCTTGTCATCGCAACTCCTCTGAAAACGCAAAACAGAATTTCATGAAACTTTGTAGATGATAAGGACATACTATGTAGATGTGCCTATCGACAGGAAAATACGATGGAATTTTTTTTCTAGGAGTTATGTCCCTTTGAACTAAGAATTTTGGCCTAAATATACTACTGCAACAGTTTGTAATCACAACTTCTCTGAAACCACACAACAGAATTTCATGAAAGTTTGTAGTTAATGAGGACATCATGTGTAAATGTGCATATCCACAAGAAAATTTTTATCAGTTGACTTTTGTAGAGTAATGAGTCTTTGAACTTAGGAATCTGGTGAGATTTTGTTTGTCCAGTGACAATGTGGGGATTTGGGGTATGTGAGCGTGCTCACACAAAGGTTCTTTAATTTTTGAAGAATTACAATTTCAGAGGTTGTTTGAAAGTTTTAAGGGAGAGGGTGTTCTTTGGGATTTAACCAGTAAATCTAAATGAATTTTAATTTTGAATTCTGAAGGGAGGTGGGCTTCCAAACATAGACTCACCACTAGATCCTAATTTTTGTATCTTTTCACCATTTCCCTTCATTAGAGTGAATATTTAATACCAAAGTTTTAATTTTGGAGTCAGATTTCTACTTTTGAAAAAAGTCTCTCAGAAAAGGGTTATATTATATAAATTGCTGCACTTTGATGGTGGATATTCACTTGAAGAATAAACTATAATTTTGGAAGCAGTGGTATTTTTCCTTTCTAATAAACACCAAAGACTGTATGTGTTTCATTATACTGAATGCCTTATGCTGTTTATTTTTACATGTAATAGTGATATAAATAGGTGGTACTTGGGGAAAAGACGATGAGGGAGGGGGGGGTGGTTTTAACAACCTTGACTACCCATGAGGGTCTTCCACTGTCGGTAATTGGGAGGAGATACTACAATGTATTTTCTTTATATCACAATATCTACAGGTAAAGATACTTTTGTGTGTTTACCGTTTTTGAGGCCAGTAACTGAAAACTTTCAACAAACTGTTTTTTACTGCAAGCTAAAAAAGAGGTGGGAGATACCTATAAGACATAGAAAACTCATGTCAAGAAAAACTGACAACGCTATTGGAAAACACAAAAGACAATGAAAAGACAAACAAGTTAACAAATACTACATAGTAAAGACTGAGTAATACTATATCCACCAGAAAATGGCAGTGATCACAACGGCTCCAGAAGGGTATGCAGATCCTGCTCCACTAGTGGAACCCATCATTTTACTCATTACTTAAGTATAAAGCACTTAGATACTTTTCATTAAAGGCCATATTTTTTGCACGAGTATAATGATAATAACTCAGCATCAGCATTACTAGATGTACTATCATTTTTTTTAATGTTTTATTTATCCATTTTGCATCAGGCTTTTGTTATTAGAAGAAAATTTACTTTAAAAATCAGTAAGTCCTCTAAGATAGAAAAAAAAAAATTTCTGTAACTGATTGATATTTACCAAAGAAGAATTAAGGAATTGTTTGGCCACTTTTTTGGCCTCTTGATTTTGATATTCAAAACTACGGTATTTTAAATGTATGTAACAAAAAACATTCTTGATAGTTTTCAATAGACATTGGTCTGTTAGAAATCATTATTTATATTTTTTGATTGTGTCTAACATTTTTTTGCTTTAGGGCTTCAAACGCCTTCCATTTAATGCAAATCTACCATAGCTGCCAAAATAGCCTCTTTTTGAGATCTTTGTCATTCATACTTAGATATGAGACACAGCTTATAAACCCTACGCGATATTTTGTTGTAAAATGTTTTATACAAAGATACTAAGGTAGATAAAATATTTTATTGGGTAAGACCTTTGCTCATATCTAATTTTGTCAAAAAATGTGTATAAAAAGACCATTTTAAGTCATATATGTCAATTTCAACATGTATAGGGACACCATAACTGACAATGTTTTGAAATGTGTCTATATTGTATATATAATGACTTTTATCATTTGTTTTTAAGATTTTCCACCTAAACACACTTTAATTTTTAAAAGATGTAAGATGAATTGTAGCTTAAATTGTATTGCTTATTAAAATCATTCTTATATCAAATCATTTTTAAAATAAATATGTAGGCAAAAAAGTAACAAACAGTAAGATCTGATGTTTTTGTTAACAGACGACCAGTTATATGGAAAGTTTACATTTTCCTCACAAGTGTATGAAGTGTTAGAAAGCAAAGGTCTCCTAGAAATAGATATCCTGTTCCATAGAAAGATACCTGTGTAAGTAGGACAAGCATCAGTAGAAATTATATATATAATAGATGTCCTGTTCCATAGAAAGATACCTGTGTAAGTAGGACAAGCATCAGTAGAAATTATATATATAATAGATGTCCTGTTCCATAGAAAGATACCTGTGTAAGTAGGACTAGGATCAGTAGAAATTATATATATAATAGATGTCCTGTTCCATAGAAAGATACCTGTGTAAGTAGAATTAGGATCAGTAGAAATTATATATATAATAGATGTCCTGTTCCATAGAAAGATACCTGTGTAAGAAGGACTAGGATCAGTAGAAATTATATATATAATAGATGTCCTGTTCCATAGAAAGATACCTGTGTAAGTAGGACTAGAATCAGTAGAAATTATATATATAATAGATGTCCTGTTCCAAAGAAAGATACCTGTGTAAGTAGGACTAGGATCAGTAGAAATTATATATATAATAGATGTCCTGTCCATAGAAAGATACCTGTGTAAGTAGGACTAGGATCAGTAGAAATTATATATATAATAGATGTCCTGTTCCATAGAAAGATACCTGTGTAAGTAGGACTAGAATCAGTAGAAATTATATATATAATAGATGTCCTGTTCCATAGAAAGATACCTGTGTAAGTAGGACTAGGATCAGTAGAAATTATATATATAATAGATGTCCTGTTCCATAGAAAGATACCTGTGTAAGTAGGACTAGAATCAGTAGAAATTATATATATAATAGATGTCCTGTTCTATAGAAAGATACCTGTGTAAGTAGGACTAGGATCAGTAGAAATTATATATATAATAGATGTCCTGTTCCATAGAAAGATACCTGTGTAAGTAGGACTAGGATCAGTAGAAATTATATATATAATAGATGTCCTGTTTCAGAGAAAGATACCTGTGTAAGTAGGACTAGAATCAGTAGAAATTATATATATAATAGATGTCCTGTTCCATAGAAAGATACCTGTGTAAGTAGGACTAGAATCAGTAGAAATTATATATATAATAGATGTCCTGTTCCATAGAAAGATACCTGTGTAAGTAGGACTAGAATCAGTAGAAATTATATATATAATAGATGTCCTGTTCCATAGAAAGATACCTGTGTAAGTAGGACTAGGATCAGTAGAAATTATATATATAATAGATGTCCTGTTCCATAGAAAGATACCTGTGTAAGTAGGACTAGAATCAGTAGAAATTATATATATAATAGATGTCCTGTTCCATAGAAAGATACCTGTGTAAGTAGGACTAGAATCAGTAGAAATTATATATATAATAGATGTCCTGTTCCATAGAAAGATACCTGTGTAAGTAGGACTAGGATCAGTAGAAATTATATATATAATAGATGTCCTGTTCCATAGAAAGATACCTGTGTAAGTAGGACTAGAATCAGTAGAAATTATATATATAATAGATGTCCTGTTCCATAGAAAGATACCTGTGTAAGTAGGACTAGAATCAGTAGAAATTATATATATAATAGATGTCCTGTTCCATAGAAAGATACCTGTGTAAGTAGGACTAGGATCAGTAGAAATTATATATATAATAGATGTACTGTTCCATAGAAAGATACCTGTGTAAGTAGAACTAGGATCAGTAGAAATTATATATATAATAGATGTCCTGTTCCATAGAAAGATACCTGTGTAAGTAGGACTAGGATCAGTAGAAATTAGCTTTTCATTTTATATCCAAATTAATTACCAACATTCTTTTTTATATCATACTTATCGTTGTTTTAAAACAGACACTTTCTTCTTTAAACCTGGAACAGTTCATTGAAACATGGCAAAATAAAGATGAATTCATCTTTAAAAAAAATGAGAATCCGAGAACAATTTTCTGATAATGAGCTGATTTTCATTCATTTTCGTACATTGTCTAATTGCAAGAATGATGGCATGCTAATAATACCAAGTCAGCTGTGACTGGATATTTCTGTTTTTGATATTATCTTTGTTAATGATAAGTGTACTCTTTCAAAGACAGAAAAAATTAATACAAACAGCTTTTCTCTGGTGTGGTGTTTATTTTAAATTGATTTTTCCTCTTTCTTTAATTTTAGGGGCAAGAGTAGTGGTGGCTTGCAGATTATGGTAAGATTGATATGATAATGAGACTAACTGAGAGTTAATCTGTAATAACAATATATATACTTATTTTAATGGTATTGAATGATATTAATATTTTAAAATGTTAATCTATTAAAAGTGGAATTCCAATCAATAAAGTTTATCCATTAGAATCATCATTGGCAGAGGTACTGTTTTAGCAAAATGTTTTGGAAAACACTTTATACATTAGGTGAAACATTCATGTCAGGGGCAAACGTCCCATTTTGGAGGTTTTGAAAGTTGACACCTATCTGATTTATTCTACTGATACTATAATTTCAGAGTAACATGTTTTGAGTCTTAAAACTCAAAGGTATTGCTACAAAACATTCTTAATTCCTTTGTAAAGAAAAAAAGCAGTCTCATTTTAAAACTAAAACATGGTCATGGAGAGGTACATCAAAATGAAACTGAAATGAAAAATTAGATTTCCAAATATAAAATCTGTTCTTAGCCTCCTGATTTGAATGAAACTTTAATGATTGGGAAGGAACTACTTTAATGGTATGATTTTTTCCAATTTGACCATTGTAACAAATTGTGCCTTTTTAAGCCATAGTCCTGTTTGCAAATCATCCACCAGAAACACCTTGATTCAAACATATTTATAAAAAAAAAACGATTTTAAAACACCAATTAGTATGATAATTTCAATTGACTTGGTAAATTCAAAAGTATTTGAAGGATAATAGATTTTGAATTCAAAGATGAAAGTCTTTATAGATTTAAATGATTTGTTTTTCCATTTATTAGGGTATTTTGGTCAGTATATATTTATTATATATGATAGTTTGTAGCACATCTTACATGGGAAATCTGATAACCTTCCTTCTGTTGTGTACATGTGATGTCACCTAATTTATCATTTTAGATAATGATATAACATTTTCTTAGAACAATTCTGCAAGTGAAGTATGGAGGAAAGACAGAAAAAATTACTGAGTTTTGTAACATTTTAAGATGGCAATTTTTTTCTTCCCTTTGCAGCATTTCTCAGGATTTGTGTTTTTTTAGGAGCAGATACTTTCTGTGTATATTGACTGGAAAATTATGTATTTTTTAATTATTTTTATCAAATGGCATAGAAAAAATCTGTTAAAATTGATATTGATACATTAACAAAAATGTGATAGTGATAGGATTATCAGAATTAATGAATTTTAGAAAAAGAAATACCTGGGTAAGCCATTTGTGTAGAAGTCCTGCACAGTTTGGAGATACAATGTAATTACTAAAAAGTGAACACTTTAAAGACCCCATTTTTATTCCTATTGACTCTTTCTTGTAGCAAATTTGTTTTGATAATGGGGATGTCCTGTAGTTAGCTATTGACAATTAAACTTTATCATAGCAAAAAAATAAATTAGGCCATCACATGTACCAACTCTGTATCTGGTGTGTTTCTCTACATAATCCAAGTAAATGTATATGGTTCTTCACCAAATCCTATGTATGCAGATTCCACACTATATCCTATGTATGCAGTAATACTATACGTTAAAAAAATCTTACTTTCAAACTAACCATATAACCCAATTCTGTTGCAGGGAATTACAAAGGTAAACTTTGCATGAAGCTAATGGTTTTGATCTTCACTGTTATTTCTTTAATTGATATTTTACACAATGAATATACTTGATGCAAAATTTCATTTGCTGTTGGCATGGTATATCTGTTATGAGGTTATCAAAATTAGAAAAATTGAACAAAACTATTTGTTTATTGGTTATTTAAAAAAAATAATGCCCCCATAGTATGATTTCTTTTCAAATGTTAAAGACATTGTTATTTTGTGCCATAGGCTCTAAATTCATTTGCTCTGAATTATTATCATAACAGCTAAAATTGAAATAATGTTTAATTTGCCTGCAACAATAGCTTTTGTAATGAAAAATAGAGTATATGGGTTAAAACACCAATTTTAATATGTCCACCACAACAAAACTTTCTTTAACATGAATTAAAGATGCATATAAATATTGCTTCTCTGAACACATGGTGTCAATTAAAGCCAAAGCGTCATCCTAGAATAGCTACATCCAAACTTATGATCTCATCAGTCCTGTTGAATATGGCTTCTCATTATACATGGATCATGGTGATTGTCTTTCACGATTAAATTAGTTAAACCATTTATTTTTAAAAATATATGAATGCAACAACCTGACAATAAAGCCTTCAGTTACTTTACATAAAAGTTTTGTATGATAAAGCAATCAGTATATAAGGTTAGAGGTATAAGGATGCTCTCAATGTTATGATATATAGCATTTATATGTTTACTATTTTTTTTACATGGATAGTTCAGTTTTGTCAGGAGCTATTTTAGGATAAAACACATTTTTGTGAAGTGATTGGTGCATTAACTGGAAACAAATAAAAAATCATAAATCCAATAGAAACTACCTGATAAGGAGCAGGGAGAATCTTTCTGCCTGATTAGGAGTAGGGAGAATCTTTCTGCCTGATTAGGAGTAGGGAGAATCTTTCTGCCTGATTAGGAGTAGGGAGAATCTTTCTGCCTGATTAGGAGTAGGGAAAATATTTCTGTCTGATTAGGAATAGGGAGAATCTTTCTGTCTGATTAGGAATAGGGAACATCTTTGTCTGATTAGGAGTAAGGAGAATCTTTGTCTGATTAGGAGTAGGAAGAATTTTTGTCTGATTAGGAGTAGGGAGAAATTTCTGTCTGATTAGGAGTAGGGAGAATCTTTCTGTCTGATTAGGAATAGGGAGAATCTTTTTCTGATTAGGAGTAGGGAGAATCTTTGTCTGATTAGGAGTAGGGAGAATCTTTCTGTCTGATTAGGAGTAGGGAGAATCTTTCTGTCTGATTAGGAATAGGGAGAATCTTTCTGTCTAATCAGGAGTAGGGAGAATCTATCTGCCTGATTAGGGGTAGGGTGAATCTATCTGTCTGATTAGGAATAGGGAGAATCTTTTTGTCTGATTAGGAGTTGGGAGAAACTTTCTGTGTGATTTGGAGTAGGGAGAATCTTTCTGTCTGATTAGGAATATGGAGAAACTTTCTGCTTGATTATGAATAGGGAGAAACTTTTTGTCTGATCAAGAGTAGGGAGAATCTTTCTGTCTGATTAGGAATAGGGAGAATCTTTCTGCCTAATTAGGAGTAGGGTGAATCTATCTGTCTGATTAGGAATAGTGAGAATCTTTCTGCCTGATTAGGAGTAGGGAGAAGCTTTCTGTCAGATTAGGAGTAGGGAGAAGCTTTCTGCCTGATTAGGAGTAGGAAGAATCTTTCTGCCTGATAATGAGTAGGGAAAAGCTCTAGCCTGATTATTAGTATGGTGAATGTTTCTGCCTGATTAGGAGTAGGGAGCTTCCTTCCTGATTATTAGTAGGATGAATCTTTCTGCCTGATTAGGAGTAAGGAGAATCTTTCTGCCTGATTAGGAGTTTGGAGAACCTTTCAGCCTGATTAGGAGTAGGGAGAAGCATTCGGTCTGATTAGGAGTAGGGAGGAGCTTTCTCCCTGATTAGGAGTAGGGAGAAACTTTCCACCTGATTAGGAGTAGGGAAAAGATTCCTACTTTTTTTTGAATCGTTAGATCTGTCATTTTACACAACTGATAATACAACAAAAAGAATAATGTATTTAATCAATGGTAGAGCATAAAACATGTCTGAGGTTATTCTGTTTTTATTACATTGCTGAATAATACATGTCATACAGTTTATTGACTAAGTATTACATTACTCTTTTTTTTTTACTGTTATTTATTTTGATCTCACTGTTTATAGAAATATTTAAACAAAGAACCTAATTTTTATATTGATTATCAACAGGACAAGTGATTGTAAATATGTTGCATCAATATAAGGGAAAAATTTTACTGTTTTACACATAGATTTGAATGAAAATAACTTCCGTGTACTATAGAATTAATGATTAATATTATTCTTTTGGGGATACAAAACTAAATCAGTAGTTATAATAAATAATAAAGCCATAAATGATCATTTTCTACAAACAATTGTCATTTTATTATTGGTAAGTAAGTTGTGTAATTAATATCAAGGACATAGTAAAGGTTATGTATATCTGTGTTCACTGTTTGTTACAAGTCATTATTTATATGTTCTGTTAAGGGCATAGATATATGTGAGACCTTAAATTGATATTCCCTTGACACAAAGTCAACAAAATATGGTCTCTGGAAATATGCAAATAAAACAATACACCTTACTTTTGAAGTTTTTTTTCAGTTTGATTTTAGCATATTTGAGGTTAAAATACTTATTGTTGAGCCTGCGACTTTTATCGCAGAGAGTTCAACATAGGATAGTGATCCGGTGGCGGCGGCATTAGCTAACTTCTTCAATATTTTCCATGGTGGAAGACCTGGATGCTTTATTCTTTGTATAAAGATGCCTTATGTTATGAAGTTTCTGTCTGTCATATGTCCATTGTCGTTGACCTCATTTTCATGGTTCAGTGACTACTTGAAAAAAAAGGTTAAGATTTTTGTAATGTTAATTTCTCTCTTATTATGAGTAATAGGATAACTATATTTAATATGTGCGTACTTTGCAAGGTCCTCATGTCCGTCAAGTTTTCATCTGACCTCAATCTCATTTCATGGATTAGTAAACAAGGTTAAGTTTTCGTGGTCAAATCCATATATCAGATACTGTAAGCAATAGGTCTTCTATAATTGGTGTATGGAATGATTGCAAGGTGTACATGTCCAACTGGTAGGTGTCATCTGACCTTGACCTCATTTTCATGGTTCAGTGGTTAAAGTTAAGTTTTTGTGTTTTGGTCTTTTTTTTTTAATACTATATGCAATAGGTCAACTATATTTGGTGTATGGAAATATTTTACAATGTACATGTCAGTCTGGCAGGTTTTATTTGACCTTGACCTCATTTTCATGGTTCATTGCTCAGTGTTTAGTTTTTGTGTTTTGGTCTGTTTTTCTTAAACTATAACCAATAGGTCAACTATATTTGTTGTATGGAATGATTGTAAGGCGTATATGTCTGTCTGGCAGGTATCATCTGACCTTGACCTCATTTTCATGGTTCATTGGTCAATGTTAAGTTTTCATGGTTAGTTTGTTTCTAAGATACTATAAGCAATAGGTCGGCTATATATGGTCAGTAAAGAAGGCGAGACATTTCAGCGTGTGCACTCTTGTTTCTTATTTTATTCTTTTTCCCCAAAAAAATATCACGGCTTTGAAATGAAAATAAAAATTTCACCTGGTTATTTTTTTTAGCAATGTGTTCCTTAATACATTGACCTTTTCTTAGGTTACCATACTAAAATGTAGTTAGAAATTTTTGTGAAATCAGGAAAGAATTGGTGAGAGAGAGCTATAAAACAAATTCTTGCCACTACAATTCTGCATACAGAAATATATCTACCCTTAGACCTGTAAAACAAATTCTCGCCACTACAATTCTGCATACAGAAATATATATACCTTTTTTTTTTTGCTTGAACATTTTATTGCCCCCACGCAATGCGTTGCAGGGGACCTAGAAATACCGGGTGTCTGTCCGTCCCGCCTTGTAAGCGCTCTCACATGTACAATTCTTGCCAGATTTTTATGAAACTTATATTGTAGGTTTAAATTAGATATGTTTCAGACGAGTTTGAAAATCAGTGCCGATCAACTATTTTTTAAAGAGTTATGCCCCTTGCAAACAGTAATTATATGGAAAATTGCATCGTTAGCGCTCTCATGTGTACAATTCTTGCCAGATTTTTAGGAAACTTATATTGTAGGTTTATATTAGCAATGTTTCAGAAGAACTGGAAAATCATTGCCGATCAACCATTTTTAAAAGAGTCATGCCCCTTAGAAATATAAATTATATTGAAATTTTGGTTGTAAGTGCTCTCGCATGTACAACTTTTGACAGATTTTTATCAAATTCATATCAAAGGTATATAACAGCAATGTCTTGGTTAATTTCGAAAATAAGTGCTGATTAAATATTTCCAATGAGTTTCCCTTGGAAATATTGAATATACCTGAAATTGCTCTCAAGTCTTCAACTCTCTAGTAAGATAATTTTAAAAAGTTTAGTTATTGCCCTTGGACAGAACAGATAAAATATGTGGAACGTGGGGGACATTGGAACTCTGTTCTTTTATATAACATTGTTGAAGCAGTACACAATAGATTACAAAAGCAAAACAATTTCCTTCTGCTATACTCTTTGCATATATATATCAAAATATTATAAGAGTAAGTGTCCTAAAGTTATGGATGGTAGAAAAGTAACCCGTCATTAATTGATTCAAATTCAATAGTGCAAATGTGTCGTGTCCAGAATGAAGTGTGAAGCATTTAATGATTAAATAAATGGAAGAAGTGTTAGGAAAATGCATATTTTGTACCAAATTTTTTTTTTTTAGGTAACACACTTAATCACATGTTGAGACTGTAAGGCTTAACTATTGATCATTGTTATTTTGTATAGAATGGACAGACAGTAATGATGAATGAAACAACTGTGGATCAAAAATTTAAAGATGTCAGTGTAGAATATGAAACTAGAGAAGGATCAGCTAAAGCAGGAAGTAAATTCAAATATACCAGTGGAACTCTGGTGAGTACAACTTATCCTCCTATACATGTACTCACAACTGGACAGCTTCTACATCATCTGGTCTCTGGTGGAAAGTTGTCTCATGGGCAATCATACCACATCTTTTTTTTTATAATGTTGTATAGAATTTTCACTAAATTTACTTTTTAAATAGATTTAAAGCACAATTACTTTATGAACCTCATTATTTTGTTGATGTAATATGGTATTCACATGATATTGTTAACACATTGTTTCCAGATGAAAAGGTCATCAATAATATCAAAATAACAAATAAAATATAAGCTTTTCGAGGAGAATTTGACCTAGTTTTAAGTGTGTAATGTAAAATATTTCCACTGTGACTTGTATTCTGGGAAATATCTTTTTCCATGCAAAATTCTGTACAAACAACAAACTAGAGCAAAGACTTGCACTGTACCTCTTGTCATAAATTTTACCCTCTGTAATAGAATTAACTGTGCAAAATTTTTCATATTAATTGGGTTTTTGCATGGTTTTTTTTTTGGGGGGGGGTGGTTTGGTGGGGAAGTGAAAAAAATGATGTCAGAAGAAGATGTTCCCACATTTGTAAATGTAACCGCATAATTAGTTTACAAATTTTCGTCAATAAATCTCATTTTTGGGTAATTGAAAATATTATATACATTTTGTTTTAGTTATGAGGGGAATAGCAATTTTGTCGTTACTGAGATGCCAACTATCGCTTAGGCAAAGCCTATGGTAAATGTTGATTTTTTTTATTAAGGAAAACAAACTTGACTTGCCCTTGTAAGTTTGTCAATTGCTTATAACCTCAGTAAGTGTTTTGTAGTAAGGAATAAGATAACTTTAAAAGAAATCTACATACACCACCTGGCATAAAAGAGTCACATATCAATATCCATATGTTGTATGAAAATATCATTATTATTTTACTGATATATATTTTTTCAGATTTACTTCTTCTTAAAACTTTTTTTTTTAGGGGTTTAAATGCAATATTCAGAGAAATGTTCTGCTTTTGATGGCAGTAGTATAAGCAATTTAAAAAAAAATAATGTATTAAAAACGTTAACATGTCTAAATATTATATTTTCAGAAATTTGCAGAAAATGAGTATAAGAAAACAGTTACCATACCAATCATTCAAGACAATCAGTACACAGGGAATGCAGATTTCTTTATCCTTCTGAAAAATCCATCCTCTGGAGCAGGAATTGGTGATCCTAGTGTTGGTAGAGTTAACATTGTAGATGATGATGGTAATATATCTTATTTTAGAGACTTGGATATTTTATATCTTGAATGATGTTCCTCCTAATTTCACAAAGTTTCCATCTGACATATGTTTGTAGTTCTTAACCTCATTTTCAGGGTTTAGCGATTGCTTAAAAACTGTTTAGCTTTTTTAATATGTGATTTTTCTCACATATTTCGAGTGATAAGTCTTACTTGTGGGGGTTTATAACGACCTTGACTGGCTATAAAGCCCTCGCACGGTCGGTAGAGTAATAAGTCAACTATATTTGGTATATAGAATCATTGCATGGTTACATATCCGTGAGGCAGGATTCAGTGATCACAAATTAAATTTCCTGGTCTCCAAAACTAATTAAGCAATAGGACAACTATGTTTGGTGTATGGAATGATTGTAAGGTGTACAAGTCCATCAGGTAGTGTTCATATGACCTTGACTTCATTTTTATGGTTCATTAGTCAATTTTAAGTTTTCCTTGATAAGTCTATTTCTCGAGTGTAAGGTTTTTGTTGTTGATTTGTCAATATTATTTTTTCATGGTTATATAGGTTCGTTTCTCAGATACTATAACTAATAGGTCAACTATATTTGTTGTATTATGGAATGATTTTAAGGTGTACATACTCATCTGACCTTGACCTCATGTTTATGGTCTCTTGATCAAGTTTATTATTTGTTGTTTGGTCCATTACTCAGATTCTATAAGCTACAGGTCAACTACAGTTGGTGTAATGAATGATTTTGTTAATTTGGTAGGTCTCATCTTCCCTCAACTCCCTTTTCATGGACCATTGATAATGTTTATACTGTTATCTTAAAGACTTTAACATACATTCAATCAAGATCACTAAAGCATGAGAGACATTTCAAATTATGCACTCTTGTTAAATACCTGTTTGAATATGTCTTGTTAATAATGTCAGATTAAATCTGCTGTCAGACCATGCTGCCACTTTTTTTTTAAATGAAAAAACGAAAGATTTTTGTTAATATTTCTTTATATAATGGTATAACTTGAATATATAGATATTCAAAAGATAATAAAATGCATTGTCAGATTAAGATAACCATATACATTCACCGCTTCACATTCTAAAAAAACTTACATTCTGTGAGCATGTGTTGGGACTGCTATGAATGCTCATATAAAAGCTAAAATGAAAAAAAAAAAGGAATTGCAAAAATGCCTGACTCTAAAGTTTTTGGAATTCAGACTGCCAACGGTTTAGTACTGTGAATTATGAGTTTTTTGTCATGTGTTTATTATTGTGAAAAATACAACATGATAAGTAATGAGAACTCACATTAAATATTCATTCCTATAATTTGTATGCAACACTTTCATGAATCACAATATTTAATCTCACATTTCTTTTGAAAATGGATTTGATAAATGCAATCAAAGTATTCTTAATATACAGTATTATGTTTTTGTTTTCTGATGTTTTTTTTTTTATCCCATCTTTATTTGTGTTTCAGCACCTGGAGAGTTTCAGTTTAAAGACAGTCATGTTTTTGCAAAAGATGGAAAGATTTCGGTTAAAATTATCAGGGAAAAGGGTTATGATGGAAAGGTTACTTTGGAATATAGTACACAGTAAGTGATTGTCACAAATATAACATTACAAAATCTCTTGGTGTTTTGACAGATTCCATAGATAACTTTACTTTGAAAGATTACACTGCTATCAGCTCTTGAAAAAGCTTTAAGAAAATATCACAAAATGTTAGAAGAAAGAACTGTTGTAAAACATTAATAAGCATAAATCATATATAAATTTATATAATAAGCTGTCATATTAAAAATAAAGAGTTGTGGTATGATTGCCAATGAGGCAACTATCAACCAGGGTTTAAATGATGTTGATGTAAGCACTACTATAAAGGATAACTTACCAACGTAAATATTCTCCTTATAGAAAAATCTGCCTTAAAACTATAAAGTAAATATCATTTATTTGATGAATATCTATATTGTTATTTCAGTGATGTGAGTTTGAAGGAGAATAACTATCTTTATTGTTATATCAGTGATGTGAGTTTAAAAGAGAATAACTATCCTTTATTGTTATTTCAGTGATGTGAGTTTGAAGGAGAATAACTATCTTTATTGTTATTTCAGTGATGAGAGTTTGAAGGAGAATGGCTATCTTTATTGCTATATTAGTGATGAGAGTTTGAAGGAGAATAACTATCTTTATTGTTATTTTAGTGATGAGAGTTTGAAGGAGAATAACTATCTTTATTGCTATATTAGTGATGAGAGTATGAAGGAGAATAACTATCCTTTATTGTTATTTCAGTGATGAGAGTTTGAAGGAGAATAACTATCTTTATTGTTATATCAGTGATGAGAGTTTGAAGGAGAACGACTATCTTCATTGTTATTTCAGTGATGTGAGTTTGAAGGAGAATAACTATCCTTTATTGTTATTTCAGTGATGTGAGTTTGAAGGAAAACGACTATCTTCATTGTTATTTCAGTGATGTGAGTTTGAAGGAGAATAACTATCCTTTATTGTTATTTCAGTGATGTGAGTTTGAAGGAGAATAACTATCCTTTATTGTTATTTCAGTGATGTGAGTTTGAAGGAGAATAACTATCCTTTATTGTTATTTTAGTGATGAGAGTTTGAAGGAGAATAACTATCCTTTATTGTTATTTCAGTGATGTGAGTTTGAAGGAGAATAACTATCTTTATTGTTATTTCAGTGATGTGAGTTTGAAGGAGAATAACTATCTTTATTGTTATTTCAGTGATGTGAGTTTGAAGGAGAATAACTATCTTTATTGTTATTTCAGTGATGTGACTGTTGTTGGTGAAGAGAGCTTGAAGGAGAATGGCTATCTTTATGTAATTTGACTGCTGTTGGTTGAGAGAGTTTGATGGAGAATGACTATCTGTATTGTTATTTCAGTAATGTGACTGCTGTTGGTTGAGAGAGTTTGAAGGAGAATGACTATCTATATTGTTATTTCAGTGATGTGAGTGCTGTTGGATGAGAGAGTTTGAAGGAGAATGACTATCTATATTGTTATTTCAGTGATGTGAGTGCTGTTGGTGGAGAGAGTTTGAAGGAGAATGACTATCTATATTGTTATTTCAGTGATGTGAGTGCTGTTGGTGGAGAGAGTTTGAAGGAGAATGACTATCTATATTGTTATTTCAGTGATGTGAGTGCTGTTGGTGGAGAGAGTTTGAAGGAGAATGACTATGTTGCTGTAGACCATTCCCATATAGAATTCAAACATCAAGAAAAGTCTAAGACCATCGATGTCAAAGTTAACAAAGAGGCAAAGGTACTAAAACTTAATAAACATCATCAATGTAGTTTTAAAGGCTTCAATTTCTGTTCTTATTTGCAGCGAATTTTTCATTGCATAAAAAAGATTCAAATAGTCTTTGCATGGCCTTAATGTGGCTGATTGTAGTAAATAGGGCTATTAAATTTATTTTATACTCATTATTTGCATTGGTATCAGTGTCCACAACCAGTTAACTTTCAATCTTGTAACTAGGCCTACCAATTGCCTTAAGATGACATGTTTTCAGAGTTAGCTACTGGAATAGGTTAAATTTGACATCAAATTAACTTTCCTGTCAAGGATCAACTCTTGAATTTAAGTAAACCACATTTATAAAGCTTTGAATGTGAATGCTTGCAGTTTCTATATTAATTCTATTAAAAGTTGTGAGCCCTATTTAAACCCCCACCACTTTTCCATCAGCTCAACTTCCAGAAGCAGGTCACATTAAATTGTCCATAAGATATTTCTAGGAACAATGTATTAACTGAATTTGAATGAAAATTGTAATGTAGAGTAGATCTCAATTAAACAACCCAACAGCATGATGGTATGATCCTAAAATAGAAATTACTACTTTACTTGGACTAATACCATCTTTCTGATAATAGATTACCCTATGTTTGTATCGCAGAAAAAATAGTCAATTACTTAGGATTGTACTGATGTAAATTCCACAGTCCCTGCTTAACTTGGAGGGTTTTATTTATGAGAAAAAAATATACTGTGTTTAATAATTAACATGTTGTCTGTGTGTATTTGTGATGAGATTTTATGTTTTTGTCTAGTTTGAACATGGCCAGGTAACATTTTCACCTTCTTTAAGAAGGAGTAGTAATTGTTCTTTTTCAACAAATATCTCTAAAGTTTGGTATGAGACTTTATAATCAGATTCCATTCAACATTTGTTGAATGTTAAAGTTCAATTTATATGTTGAAAATGAACTTAATTGCTCCTTGATTATTTTTATTTATTTGCATTTCTTTTTAACTCTTTAGTTATTTTTTTATCTGAAAAAAATTAAATGCTTGAAAGCTTCATGCATTGCATCAGATACAAAATATTTCACATTTTGTTCTTTAGCATCTTTTAACTGAATGTACTTCATTAAAAAAAAGGCATTTTCCTATTAAAAATCAATTAATTATAGATAAAAGTTGATATCTTATACTGCAGTTTTATCAGGTTTTTTTTTCCGAATGGCTCTTTTCATTCCATTTCATTAAAACTATTTTTGTCTCGCCTTGACAAGAGTTTAAAAGCGAGACATATGTATGCTGTTTCTGGCGGCGGCGGCAGCGGCATCAACAATGTATTAGTTTGTGATTAGGTCTAGTTTATGGTGAACCACTAGTGGTAGGTCAATGATATATGGTAAGCAGTTGTATTAGCATTGGCACATCTCATTTTAATGGAGATTATTTGGCCCTGCCCCCTCAGTCATAGTCTATCCATTTTGAAACTTTTGCTTAGTTTACATGTATTAATTTGTGATTAGATCAGTTTAAGATGACCCTCTAATGTTAAGTCAATGATATTTGGTATGCAAATTTATTGGCATTTGCAATTCTCGTTTCCATGGAGATTATATAGGCCCACCCTCATCATGGTTCATTGACTTTGAAGCATTTACATAGTTTACAAGTTAATGTTTGTTTGAAGGGAACGACTTATGATAAGTCAATAGTATTTGGGTGCTATAAACAGTTTCGTATAAAAAACTAGGGGTTATTCCCCGACTAAAAATAACCATGAAGGGAAATCCCTTTTTATTCATATAATTGGTGAAAAAGTATCATGTTTTTTGTATTTGATTGTAAAAATAAGTTAATTAGCTTTCAATTTAAACAGGTTGAATGATTAAAATAATTTTAAAAATTAGATTAAATATTCATGTTTTGAGGGGAGACAACACTGTAAACATCCTGTTTTTTTGGCAGTGAAAATTGAAAACTTATTTGCAGCCACTGTAGCTCTTTTCGAAGCAGGAAACCGTACCCTGAAACAAGATTTTTATTAAAGGCCAGGTAAAAACCTATGAATTTCATACAGTTTTGATTATGGGAAATGTGCCTGTATCATGTTTACATGGGTATGCACATGACCTGATTTCAGGTTTTTTATGTTCAGATTAGGCAACTTTTTCCCCATTTTCTCTGGATAGAACTTTTTTACTATATTAAAAGGACAGTATATTTTTATTTCAATATAAACTAGAGAAAATTCTGATTCCAGTAATATCTAGTTTTATACTTTATTAACCATTCCACCACTAAGGGTCACTTAGGCATGGTCCCTTAAAATATGACGTCATAGAAAAAAACTGTTGATTGCACCCTTTGGTATGCAGTTGCATTAGCATTGGCTCATTTCATTTCCATGGAGATTGTTTAGCCCTGTACCTTCAGTCATGGTTCATTGACTGAATAGTTGCATTAACTTACATGTTAAAGTATTGCTATTTTAATTTCAACATTTGCATTATCAAAATAACAAAAAGGCGAGACATATCTCTGTGTTTACAGTTTATGTATTTGTACTACTGTCTACCTTTTTGAAAATATCTTCCACTGCTTTTCAAACAAATTTTATGTTGCTTTTTATGCTTGATAAAAAGGGCCATGTGCCTAAATTCTTACAATAAAGATCTACAAAACTTAAATAAATATGTTGGTAATCTATGCCACTAATCATTTACTGACTTATTGTCAGCTGTAATATATAAACATATCCCTTTATTCACAAAATGATATACATTATATCTCTCTTTCCCCCAAGTATTCTGTAACTTAATATTATTGTTTTCCTTTAATTTTTATTCAGATCAATTATTCTTGTCAGGATATGTTTAAAAGGAAAATGAAACAATGGACTCAATATTTACTTCAGTTTTGTTTTTGATGCTTTAGAATATGAATACATATTGCTTTAACTATTGTTTGACTTTGTTGTTAAGTTGATTAAAAGCATGGATTAGTTACTGATGATACAAGTTTGCATGCATAATGTTTTAATATAATTCCAATACCTTTACACACATATACACACATATACACACACTAAAATATTGATATGGTGAGGCAGATAGGAGGGTACTTCAGATTTTCTCTCTGAGTGCTACTTAACTTTTTATTTTGCTTACTAGTAGTATATACTTTTGAAACAAATGTAGGAAATAATTCATTAGTGTGGTTGTTCTAATTTCTTGCAGTCACCTTTGTTTTAAATTGCTCATTGGCAGCTGCTTATATTTCCTTTTCAGAACTATGCCAAGTACATCAGCTTGCTCTCTAGAAATAACTCTGTACTTCCATAACTTATATGTCTCTCAGTTAAATTGTTTGCCTAATTCAGTTTACAGGAAATATTTACAAGATGGTAGAATTAATGAAGTAACCTCCAGTTATATTTCACTTCTGACAATTTAAAGCTTAGGTACCTTATTTGTGAAATTTCTCTTCCCAAATCTTAAAGAACAGCTTATTTCAAGCGCCAATATTGGACTTATTTTTAATTAGTACAATTATAAGATATATGAATGTTAAATGTTTAATCTTTGTCTATTTGTCTGTCTTGCAATCTTTATCTCTTCTAGTCTTTTTTTATCCCATTTTTTTTCTGATTTTTAATATGTTATGTATATGGTAGGTTTCCTATGACTACTGATGTTCAAATTTTTAAATAAAAATTTGTTAAGTAAAGCTCCCTTTCAATTTGAAGATTTTCAAATGGGTAAGTCCAAATTCATGTAAGTTGATTTCTGAAATTTCTATACTTGAATTTTTGACTTGTTAAAAACTTCATTTGAGCATGATAGGTTTTTAATGACATTTTTATATGATGTCAAGATTGAAATATTACATATTTACAATATGACAGAAAACTGCATAGTTGGCTGATTGAAGATTTATTATGGGTGGGTTTTGAGATCAGATCACTTATTTTTATACGACCGCAAAAAAATTTTGTGGTCGTATATTGGTATGACGTTGGTGTCGTCGTCGTCGTCGTCGTCCGAAGACACATTGGTTTTCGCACTCTAACTTTAGTTTAAGTGAATGGATCTTTTTGAAATTTGACCATAAGGTTAAATACCACAAAAGGAAGGTTGGGATTGATTTTGGGGGTTATGGTACCAACAGTTAAGGAATTAGGGGCCAAAAAGGGGCCAAAAATAAGCATTTTCTAGTTTCCAGACAATAACTGTGGAACGGTGTATGGATCTCTCTGAAATTATACTACAAGTTTCTATACCACAAAGGGATGGTTAGGATTTGCTTTGGGGGGTTATGGCTCAAACCGTTTAGGAATTAGGGGCAAAAAAGGGGGAAAAACAAGGTTGTCCTGGTTAATGGACAAATACTTTAGTACAAAACATAATTTAAAGCAGTGTAAGGGAGATAAATCAAATACATCATTGAAATTATCTCCCTTACACTGCTTTTAAATTATGTATAAAGTAATGGTTAATGAACAATAAAGATAATTTAAAACAGTGTAAGGGAGGTAATCCAAATACAACGTTTTGGTTACTTCCCTTACACTGCTTTTAAATTATGTTAAAAGAAATACATATTTATAAAGGAAGACCAGTAAAAATATCTGCAAATGTTGCATCTTTTTTTTTTACAAAAAAATCCATATGAAAGATTTGACACTATATTTTTAATTCTATTATAAAATAGATTAAGTTAGCACTATGGTAAATTTAAATGGGTAATTATGGTTGCCAACTCCATTGGAAATTTGAATTGAGATTATGACCATATCTTGAGGGAAAGAATTTTTTTGGGGAAAAAAAGGGGGGGGGATAAAAAGAAATTGTGGGGGGTCAATTTTTTCTCATTTCAGATTTCAGAAATTAAAAAGAATTATCCTTCAAATATTATTTTTTTTTCAAATTTCAAATATTGAAAAATTTCAAGAAGTAATCTTTAATTGCACAGTATGGCGCATTAGATTTGTAAAATCTTTGATCACATTTATTTATTTGTTATGCCGAATCTAACAGTGTATTTAGATTTTTAATTTTGGGTCCAGTTTTCAAATTGGTCTACATTAAGGTCCAAAGGGTCCAAAATTAAACTTTGTTTGATTTTAGCAAAAATTGAATATATGAGGTTCTTTGATATGCTGAATCTAAACATGTATTTAGATTTTTGATTTTTGGCCCAGTTTTCAAGTTGGTCCAAATTGGGGTCCAAAATTAAACTTTGTTTGATTTCAACAAAAATTGAATATATGGGGTTCTTTGATATGCTGAATCTAACCATGTATTTAGATTTTTTATTTGTGGACCCCGTTATCAAATTGGGTCATATTGAGGTTAAAAGGGTCCAAAATTAAACTTTGTTTGATTTCATCTAAAATTGAATTATTGGGGTTCTTTGATATTCCAAATCTAACCGTGTATTTAGATTTTTAATTTTGGGTCCTATTTTTTAAATTGGTCTACATTAAGGTCCAAAGGGTCCAAAATTAAACTTAGTTTGATTTTAACAAAAATTGAATTCTTGGGGTTCTTTGATATGCTGAATCTAAACATGTGTTTAGATTTTTGATTATTGGCCCAGTTTTGCAAGTTGGTCTAAGATAGGGTCCAGTATTTAAACTTTGTTTGATTTCAACAAAAATTGAATATATGGGGTTCTTTGATATACTGAATCTAAACATGTATTTAGATTTTTGATTATGGGCCAAGTTTTCAAGTTGGTCCAAATTGGGGTCCAAAATTAAACTTTGTTTGATTTCAACAAAAATTGAATATATGAGGTTCTTTGATATGCTGAATCTAACCATGTATTTAGATTTTTTATTTGTGGGCCCCGCTATCAAATTGGTTCATATTGAGGTCAAAAGGGTCTAAAATTAAACTTTGTTTGATTTCATCAAAAATTGAATTATTGGGGTTCTTTGATATGCCAAATCTAACCGTGTTTTTAGATTTTTAATTTGGGTCCCATTTTTTAAAATTGGTCTTCATTGAGGTCCAAAGGGTCCAAAATTAAACTTAGTTTGATTTTAACAAAAATTGAATTCTTAGGGTTCTTTGATATGCTAAATCTAAACATGTGTTTAGATTTTTGATTATGGGCCCAGTTTTCAAGTTGGTCCAAGTTGGGGTCCAAAATTAAACTTTTTTTGATTTCAACAAAAATTGAATATATGGGGTTCTTTGATATGCTGAATCTAACCATGAATTTAGATTTTTTATTTGTGGGCCCCGCTATCAAATTGGTTCATATTGAGGTCAAAAGGGTCCAAAATTAAACTTTGTTTTATTTCATCAAAAATTGAATTATTGGGGTTCTTTGATATTCCAAATCTAACCGTGTATTTAGATTTTTAATTTTAAGTCCCGTTTTTTAAATTGGTCTACATTAAGGTCCAAAGGGTCCAAAATTAAACTTAGTTTGATTTTAGCAAAAATTGAATTATTGGGGTTCTTTGATATGCTAAATCTAAACATGTGTTTAGATTTTTGATTATGGGCCCAGTTTTCAAGTTTGTCCAAGTTGGGGTCCAAAATTAAACTTTGTTTGATTTCAACAAAAATTGAAAATATGGGGTTCTTTGATATGCTGAATCTAACCATGTATTTTGATTTTGGACATTGGACCATAATAGGTAAATTAAAAAAATTCAAGTTCTTAGACCACATTCTTTCTGTGTCAGAAACCTATGCTGTGTCAAATATTTAATAACAATCCAAATTCAGAGCTGTATCAAGCTTGAATGTTGTGTCCATACTTGCCCCAACTGTTCAGGGTTCGACCTCTGCGGTCGTATCAAGCTGCGCCCCAGCGAAGCATTTTATTATATATTTTCTCAGAACAAAAAAAAAAATAGGGATATATGGTCATGAGATATACCTATCACTCTAGGCTTCTGCATTTCCACTAGAATTTAAACATCACTATCACAGAATATATTGTAAGGGATTGACAACTCCATAGAGGAAAAACTTGACTGCATTTTGAGAGAACTGTCAGTTCATTATATTACATAACTATATTATAACCCAAAACATGTTTGATAACAAAAAAGTATCTCTTTTAGAAGATAATAAGGTGGAAATTTCTTTACCTATTATTTCCATTAGTAAATGAAAAAACTTTAAGGAAACATGGATGTAACTCACCAGCACATGTTTTACTCAATGCACTATAGCTAAAGAATATTAAATTGGCTGCATCTATAGATTCATTCTCAAGGACAAATTTTTTAATACTTTTATTTTTCCTCCTTTTCATTCAAGTAAACTGTACTTGTATATTATTTATTGCAGGGTTCCAAGAGTTTTATTGTGACCATTAAGAATCCATCAGTTGGAGCTAAAGTAGGAAAAACAGCTACAGTTGTGTGTCATATTAATAAAGGTATGAAACAAGATGTCAGCTCAGTATACTGGGCTATTGATCATGTGAATGGTTGGCAAATGATATTCAGATTGAGTGGATATTTTGAATTCAAAAGATGGCAGTATATGGTCAAAATATAAACAAAAAAACAAATGAATTGACAACAAAATTGGTAAGGTGTATTAGAACTTTCGAATTGGTGCTCTTTCCTGTACATTTTCTATGTCACAATCCTTATGTTATTAGGTCACAGTAAGAACTGATTGTTCAATAACTTCATTTACAACTATTGACCTCGGGTCAACCAGTGTATTTCTTTCATAAAAAAACAACTCTAGATAGGTATATAAGATGAATATAATCTCTTAATGTCTGCATGAAAGGGTACATCTGATTTTGACCTCATTTTCATGGTTCATTGATCAAGGTTAAGATTCTATTTCTTATTTTTCCTTGGACACCTGTGCACTTCATCTTGTTATTTTAAGTTGTATTTCCTTATACACCAGTATAGTTTTCTATGTTTCTATTAATTCTTTCTCCTTGGATACCAGTTCACCTCTACTGGAATATTTATAGCTGTACCTTCATTTACCTTCATTAATTTCTCTCCATTCAAACATTAATGTATTGTCTGATTGTCAGACAGTTCTAGAAAGATGGGGAAAATGTGTCAGAGACCAATAAAAAACAAACTGAGGCTGCAGTACAGGTAAAGTCTCACCTAGGAAGTAACAAAGCCATAGGATTTTGTTTTTTAAGGAAGTCAGTGTCAGTAATAGATAAAATGTGAAGCCAAGCTTGAAAGTAATTCTTATAAATGGTCTTTAGAGATAATTGGGTTTTTGAATTACATCAATTTAGTGTATTGATTAAACTTCAGATTGTCAGAACTTGGCCAACAAAAATTTAATTAACCAGAAGATTCAAAACTGTTGATTAAGGTAATAATAACATGTTAACTTTATTTAAAACTGTCTTTTTTTTTTTTAAACTTTTAGCAATTTTTTCAAAAAATAAATTTAAAAATAGATTTAGTTAACATTTAGGTAATTTTCAGTTTATAATTGTTTCTAGGTCCTATTAATAAAGTAAGTAATGCTATTTTTGCTCTCTCATGAAATTTAAACATTCTGAGTAAGTATTTTCTTTTCTAGAACCTCAAAATGTTTAAAAACACAATTTTTTAACTACATCACAAAAGTTCAATTTGATTTTAAAAGTTTTACATTTAATTTTTCACATGTTTTGTTCCTTGATTTGATATTAAGAGCTAAGTGTTTTAGTTTTCCAATCAAGAATGTTTAGAAAAATTAATTTAAAAATGATAATATAAACAATATGTTGGATAATGTTGGTCCAATAACTTTTAATAATGTCTATATTTGCTAACATTTGCTGAAATATCACTTGAAGGCTCAAGGTCTACAAGTTTACTTAATTTTTAAACAAATTGTGGTCCAAATTATGTTTGAATGCAAGATTATAGTAAGCAACTTCTTATCTGGTTGTCATAATTCAGAAATGATTATTTGATCTCTCCATGTAGAAACAAGAAACTTATGATAGTGTAAGAGAAGCTAATATAGTTTCACATCATATTGTTTTTTTGTGATTTTTAGATATTTTTAAGGCAAGTTGAAATCTTTGAAAAATCACAGTATAAACCAGAACCATACCAAGTTTCAAATGCATGATTATATTAGGCAGCAACTCTGACAAAATTCAACTTTGTGCCCTCTGCTTCCTATTTCTTATGTAACTCATTAGATGAGTGATTTTGCACTGATCTTTTTCTTTCAATTTTATATTCCTGTGATTCTGTTATAATGACTTTATTACAAACAAAATAGGTAAGTAGCAATGTGACACTCGATGCTCATAGTGGCTTAAAGAGTTATCTGCCCTTAACTGTAATACCAAAATCAACCTAGTAATCATTACCGACTTAGATATTTATTCCCCAATTGTATTCTATGATATATATTTGATATTTGGACTTTATTTTTCCTCTTATTTGGAAACATATGATTTGTTACAGCCCAATAAAAAAGTGTAAATTTTAATCAAAGAACTCAGGTTTGATGATTTTGTGTCATCAACATGTGAGTTTTAATGGGGTTTCATCAAATCGATCATGCCATCAAGCCATCATTAAACAAAGATATAGTCTTAATTCCGATTAGATTAGATTTTGTCATACATATTTGTGAACCTTTTTTGATTAATAAACAATTTTTCACATATAGGATAATATAGTTAATCAAAAGTAAAAAAAATAGAAAATATTGAACGAATAATAACAATGTGGCAAAGGGCTAATTTTTAGCCATTAGAACAACGCATTGTATCTAAGGCCAATATATTGTAAATATATGGTATATCAATCTTATTAGAGACATATTATTATCAGTCTGTTGTGTACATTTTGTCTTAACAGTGACTTTGTTTTATCTTTCAATTGGTTTTTCTCAGTAATTTGACTGTATATGGTGTCCTTTGATCTATTTCTTTGATTGATAGGATTGAGTTAATCCTTATGGGTTGATGAGAATTTAGTTACTTTTACTTTTTAGTTTGCCCTAAAACAGGTGCAGGTAGGTACAATGGCTTTGTGTCTATACACTAGAATGATCACCCACTGATTATGTAGATATGAGTGTACATATAAGTTTTATTTTGTTCCATCTTTGGAAACACTAGCTGTAAGATGATAGTTTAGATTAAAAGCTTATGCTTAAGGAAGGTTTATAAAAGTTGGATGTTTTTTGTCTTTAAAAGAAAATCCCAACCCTTAACTAAAACTGCAAACCCAAGTTTGACCAAAGATTTGTACACTGTTTATAAATATTTTGTAAGATTTCTTCAAAGTTTTCCCTAGATGATAAGTTTTTTATTTGCATAATGCAAAGGCATCAGAAAAAGCCAACTTAAGGTGTTGCCAACCTGAGTAGGTAATTGGTTAGAATTCAAAATTGTGATTGCATATTGTCTCTGAATTTTTAAAGATATAAAGAAATAACAGAAGAGTTTTATTTGTTATAGACATTTTGATGTTGTCATTGTAGTGTATGTTTAAAGCAAAATTAAAGGATTCTTTTTTTCAGTTTTCATATGGTTTTAGACACTTGTCTTGTTGTAGACCCTAAGTTGCCCTTGACCTTTCCGTATTTATTATGTTTTAAGGTTGCTACAGTTTGTTTAATTCTGCTTGATGAAACAAAATAAGCTAATGAAATGCTGTGTCATAATTCTAAGGTAAAAGTAAGTATATATTAATTGGTGTCAACAGACCAATTGTTTCAAGCTTGTTAGAAAGGCTCTGTCAAATTTACTACAGATCTTGTATGAAAACTACCTGCACAAGTTACATAAACTTATCATATTTGTGCTAGGGAGACTAGCTTTTATTTATAAAAAAGAGAATAAAAGTATTTGTCCCAATACAACTTTTTGCTATATATTTAAGGTAGAAATATGTTTTTTTTATGCCCCACCTAGGGGCATTATGTTTTTCGGTCTGTGCGTCCGTTCGTTCGTCCGTCAGTCGTCTGTCCCATTTCAGGTTAAAGTTTTTGGTCAAGGTAGTTTTTGATGAAGTTGAAGTCCAATCAACATGAAACTTAGAGTTTTGACCCCAATTTCACGGTCCAATGAACATAGAAAATTATAGTGCGAGTGGGACATCCATGTACTATGGACACATTCTTGTTCTGCTTTGTATCAATCTGTTGAGCAAGGCCCCTTTCAAATGATTTTTATAGTTTATTCTTATGTTGTGCTGTTACACCACTGTCCCAGGTTAGTGGAGGGTTGAGCACACACAAGCATGTTTAACCCCACCACATTCTTTATATGCCTATCCCAAGTCAGGAGCCCGTAGTTCAGTGGTTGTCGTTGCATACCTGCCAACTTTTCAAAATCTCCATTGGGGATTTTAAGCGAAAGAGGAACTTATGCTCCTCTGTTATTACAATAAGTGTTTTTAATCTACTTCTAAATTGTTTGAATGAGTTTGTATGTGTTTAAATACCCTTTTAACTCATTTTAAAGTCTGTTTTGAGGTGTTCAAGTTATGTCTTTTTTTTATAAATTAGGCTGTTAGTTTTCTCAATTGAATTTTTATATTTTTCATGTTCCTTCTTATTTTATATTGGTACAACTAGAAGCAGAATTTCACAGGTTTATGTGTTTATTTGGTTATATTTTAGTTGTGAAGCATTCTTACAAATATAATAGATAATTTTGTCAATTGGCATTGTTTCAGCTGAGCAGTTTAGGAAATTGGTTGTTATTTGTTTTACAAACCATTTCAGCTTATGGTCACTTCAATCTTGATTTGGTCATTATCAAAACTTGTTGGGTGAAGTCAATCTTCTAATTTATTATAGAGTCAGTTACTTGCTGATGGTCAGCGATATATCAAAGGCAATGCCATTTGCTCTAACAAATTAATATCCATGAAAATTGTAAAGAATTTTACAGGGGTATTCCTCCCCATCAAAAAGTTTATCAAATAACCTATAAACAAAAAATAAGACAAAAAAAAAGGAAGTGTTAATGACATTTATTTTTACCATCATGATATAATATTTGGGACCATAGTTTTGGGAGATGGTAATAGACCAGGGTCTGCAGGGAAGATAGTTGGATCAAAATGATTTATTTTAAGGATTTTAAACAGAGTAGACCATAAGCTTTGCTCTTGTAAGAGACAATACCATTTCAAATTACAAAGAAATTGACATTAGTGATGTTTGATGCAGTAGTATAGGGTCTATAAGTACAAAATTATATATGTTGTATGTTATAGTCTTATACTATATATATCAGTAGAAACACATTGGAATCTTCCTTCAATGTACTATAGTGCTGCTTTTATTTCATTTCTAGATGTGTGCAGTTTTGTTTTAGGATTGGTTGTTTATCATTTTATATTGATCTTTCAGTTCATCTTAAGTTGACTTCAATGAAACATGCAGACATTTGGAGTATTCTCAGAAACCACTATCCTTTTTCTTGTGTCTGAATCACCATTAGTTCTTTAAAAAATCTAATTTAGCTATGTGAACATAAGTCTTATTTCTTTCTTAGACAACCCCAAAAAAGTAGGTCACTGCTGATCTCTGTTGAATTTAAAAATATTGTAAAGTATTACGAAAAAGAAAGGCACCTTAATTCAAAAATTAAACAAAAAAATGGTCTTAAAGAAATCAGTATCAATATTTAAATTTTGTATTGCATATTTGCCATAGGCCTTAAGACTTCATTAAAGGTAAAACTGCAAAAATGACCTCATTTCGACATCTTGTCTTTGATATTTAGATATGAAGCATTCTTTCTATGGATAGTTATGAATGGAAAGTTTTGTAAAAATAATTTATGATGAACTACCTTTTATTTACACCTAATTATTGCATTTTTTGTTTGCATGCACACAGTTTTCTCCAATTTTTAAGAAACAAAGTCTTTAGATCATTATACAGAAAGAAAGAAAACTATTCTATTTTACCAGTCCTAAAAATCTGAAGCCTATAAAACTCACAATATTGATCCTAGTAATTTGTACATACTAGGTCTAACAGAAACATGTTAGTTTTTCTCAATATGCAATATTCAGCTTTTTATGAAACTTGCCAAACTGTATCATGTTAGAACCAGAAAGGGTTTCATTCATGATATACAAACAAATACCAGTTGAAGTTATGTGAAAATCTCGTACCTGTCATTTTTTGACAAACTACATTTTCTCTTTATATCCCTTAAATCCACAAGATTGTCAGTTAATTTGATTTTCAACACAAAATTAACATCAAGTTGCCACACTTTAATGCTCATAAGTATTGTATTTCCTATTTGAAAGTTAAAGTCCTTTGGAAATGATCACATCAAAATAAAAAATGATTTCTTTATTGTCTTGGTTAATTTGGTTTTCTTATTCTATTTGTTATGTTTTGTAATTTAGCATTTTATTTCTTATTTTAACTTTGACATTGTTCAAATAGTTGATTGGCTTTGATATCCAGATATACTGGTAACTAGTTAGTTTGACATACACGTTTGATTATATTTTACAGAAAGTTTAGATGACAGAATAGCTGATGTTGTAGCTGATATGGAAGAAGAGGAAGATATGACATGGGGAGGACAGTTTTATAAGTATGTCATAGATCATTATTGAAGCTGTCTCTCAAATGATCAATGTTTCAGACTGGGAGACATCTTGGTTACTAATCTGGAAATGGCAACAAATGTGATAGGTTTTTGTAATAAACTTTATATTTGAGATGGTACAGGATGTGATAGGTTTTTGTAATAAACTTTATATTTGAGATGGTACAGGATGTGATAGGTTTTTGTAATAAACTTTATATTTGAGATGGTACAGGATGCGATAATTTTGGAATAAACTTTATATTTGAGATGGTACAGGATGTGATAGGTTTTTGTAATAAACTTTATATTTGAGATGGTACAGGATGTGATAGGTTTTTGTAATAAACTTTATATTTGAGATGGTACAGGAGTTGGATCATATCTTTTGTACAGATGCCTTATGGTCTTGCATATTTCTGATGGGAATGACCTTAATCTTAAAGATTTCAGCACGAAATTCACATAATATTATCAGGTAAAAAGTAAAACAGGCAAGAGATTTCAGGGTTTGCATTCTTGTTATTTAAACTAGCACAAAGAACCATGTAAATTTGTTTCCATTTCAATTTGATTAGGGCCCCGCCTTGTGGCGGGTCGCCCTATAGTGGTCAGTCTGACAGTCCGTTAAAAATTGTGTCCGCTGTATATCTAGAGAACCGTTATAATTTCATACTTTATACTTGACATGTATATTAACCAACATCAGAGGGTGTGTCATAATATTTGTACAACTTCCTAGGTCAAAGTTCAAGGTCAGCGGGGCCCACAGAGATGGCACCCATCTCAATGATGTCTAGTTTGTACTGCACAAAATGTTCTGCTCTTTAAATGATGACCAAATTTAGCATGAATTTTGGCTATGAAATCTTTTGTGAAAAATCATGGTGGTTCATCAATCCATCTTTGACAAAACATTGTTGATATAATATTTATATATAGCAACTGAAATTTGAGGAAAACAAAATCTTCATAAATAAATTCTTTTCAATATGTCACTTATTATTTATCAAGAAAATGAAAATAAATTTAAATAGGGGTACTTTTGAGATATAAGTATCTAAAAAACTGGAATTTTTGGTAGGATAATGTCTGTATTTGTCTTTACAGTGCATTTACCATTGGTGGAGAAAAAGATGAAGAAGGAAATGATATCAGACCAAAATGGCATGAATTTTTATTACATTTCCTTACTTTCTTCTGGAAAGTTGTTGGAGCTTGTATTCCTCCAACGTAAGTATTCTTGTTATGTTATAAATGTCTGTTTTTGTATTTGCCTTGATATAGATTCAAGGTCAAATGATTGAGTAATAAATCAGCTAATTGAGAATCTATACCAGGGCCAATTAAGTAACAGCAACACTTTTATTGGGTAATAAATTAACTTTGATTAAAAAACTATATATGTAGTTGAATGTAAAATCATTTAATTGTATTGATTTTCTAATCAGAGTTAATTGTATTCTTGTAAATTATGGTTAATCAGAATGAAAACAGTAGTTTTTATAGAAATATCAGTCTTAAAGGATGTAAACTTCTGTTTATAAAGATTAAAACCGGATACTATAAATTTTATTTTGAAATTCTTCTTTGCAAAAAAAAAAATTGCAATTTTTGAACTTGAAACAGCAGTTAATTATATTTTATTATCATTCTTCATACAGCTCAAAGTCGGGACAGCAAGCCATATAAATGTCAATATGATTGGGCTTATTGCAAAGTGTGTTAATTTAGTCATATTTTTTTCATGAATGTTGATGTAAAATACAGTAGTGATATCTGCTAATTTATTTGCATGAAGCTTGTTTGTAATCTGTGAACTCTCATTTTACTCTGTTTATGGCGGAACAATTCGTTCGGTAATAATCATTTGGACAATAATCTAACTGATTTAAGGGTAAAAATCAACATCACATCTGGTTTCAGGAGAAAGATACACATGTAAAAAATGTAAGAAGAAACTAGCAGTGTTGATATCAATTGTATTACTTCATTGTAAAACAAACTTGGATTGACCTGTCTACTTTTGCCTTAAATTTGGATCTGAAATTAACACATTTTGATTAAGCTTTATTTAGTTGACACTTTTATAAGGTTCTAGAAGAGACTGATATTCATGTATCCATGTTGCATTGTTTGGAATAGAGCTGAAATGTCAAAAGAAAATTTGAAAATGCTGAATTTTACAATGAATATTAGAAAAAAGCTTTGGTGGTGTTTCTCTTTAAATCATATGCAATTATAATTCGCACTAAGATAATAAACTCGATTTTTTATTTTCAGGAAATATTTGGGAGCATGGCCAGCATTTGTTCTTTCGCTAATGTATATTGGAGTATTAACATTGTTTATTCAGCAAGTATGTGTTATGTCAGTTTATTTTCACTTTAAAATATGGATTAAAAACAAATCTCATAACATGATACAGAGAGAAGAAATATGCATTTGACATAGGTCTACCAAAAAGATCCCTAGGAATGTCAGTTGTAAATGTCTTTAATCTTATTTCATGATTCAGTGATTAATATTAATTTTTCATCATTTTCTCAGCTACTTGGTTTGGCTCTTTGAACTTAAAAAAAAATTGACCCATTTCGGAATGGACTACTTGTCTTATCAATGCAAATAAATGTACATGGTTTATTATATTAATCACTTTTTTGTTTTGCCAGTTTTTATTCCCCTTTTAATATTATTTCAACCTGTTTAATACCAGCCTATATATTAAATCTAAATCAACTGTTAAGAAATTGTCATTTAAGGCATGTTTCAATATAAAAAAAAGTTTCAATCAGTTTCAATGATATCATCTAATGTCTCAGTTTAGCTTTGACATGTCTATTTTGGTGGTAAAGATTGCATTCATGCAATCAAAACCCTTGCAGGACTGGATTGATAGTTTCCAGATCTTATCACTACTTTGAGGGTAAAAACTTAGTGCATTGAACACCTTATTCTATACATAATGTCCATGTATATTTAAAACATTCAAATCAAGGAAATATATATTAAGACATTTAAGTTATAAATTGATGAGAATGTGTCTAACCATACATGTCAAGCAAATATCAGAATTTGTGTATGGTGCACTAATCTGTCTGTTTTAAAAATGTCAATGCTGTCACTGCTAACAGCAAACAACAAATCAAAATACTGTAAAGGTCACTTGACTGTAAGAGTTGCTCTCCACCTATTGCAGTTAATTCAAAATTCTGACCAAATTGCAATTTGTTTTATCAAACCAAACTGTTCAACTGGTCAGAAATTTTAACAAACTGCTGTAGAAAACCACAGTCAAGTTGTGAAAGTGTAAGGTGATACAATAAAGCCTACTTACAATCCTATTAGACTTTAATTCCACTTCATTGTTATTATAGAAATGTTTATAAGAATTTTTATAAATTCTGTTATTGTAATTGCCATTTGAGAGGTGATAGGTAGTAATTTTTAAACTGCTAAAAAATATCCAAATTTAAGTTTAAGTTGAATTGTTTCTTCTAAAATGGTGTTTTTCTATGCATACTTCAAATTCTTCTTTAAATTAATCCCTAAAATACTTTGTGAAATGTACTTTAAGCTTAAATATGTTCTCATGAAGTTTTAAAGGGAGATAAGAGCAATATTTCAAAAGATCAATAATTTTAGATTATCTCCCATGGAAACTTATTAACAATGTATTGTAATTTCAGATATAATTTACTGAATATAACATGGTTGAATTTAAACTGATGCCTGATTCTAAAAAATTTAGAAGATTTTTTAAAAGAAAAAATGTATGAAAGCTTAGTTTGGATATTTTTTCAGCAATTTATAAATTACTACCTAGCACCTTTCAAATGACAATTACAATAAAACAATGTATACAAATTCTTATAAACATTTTTATAATATCAATGAAGTTCAATTAAAGTCTTAATAGGATTGTAAGTAGGCTTTATTGTATCACCTTACACTTTCACGACTTGACTGTGGTTTTCCACAGCAGTTTGTTAGAATTTCTGACCAGTTGAACAGTTTGGTTTGATAAAAAAAATTGCAATTTGGGCAGAATTTTAAATAAATTGCAATAGGTGGAGAGCAACACTTACAGTCATGTCACAGTCAAGTAATATTTAAAATTGGAGTTATCTTCCTTTGTCCAAAACTGTAGTTGAACCAACGACAATTATGAACAAGATATCTGCAATTCATAATATTGCATTCCAATTCTAAATACAATGCAATTTTTAATTTTTAGTTCCCACTTGAAAATGAATGCAATCTTTACCCCATAAGTGCTCAGTAGCACTTATCTTAATCTCTCAGACTTCCACATATTAATGAGTCAAAATCATTGCAGAAAGGACACATTTCTTTGTGTCTAAGTTTATATAACTTACATAATGGGTTACTCTTCTGAAATAAATATATCATTTTGTTCTATAAATGACAATGTTCATTTTGCACTGATGTGATGTAAAGTAAGCATCAATCAATCAATCATTTAAAAGAAGTGTTATTGAAAATAAAATTAAATGTTTTTATTTTGTAGTTAGCTGGCTTGCTTGGTTGTGTAATTGGTCTGGAAACCAGTGTTACCGGTATAACTCTCATTGCTCTGGGAACAAGTTTACCAGATACATTTGCTAGTCGTACAGCAGCCAAACAAGATGAACATGCTGATGCAGCCATTGGCAATATTACTGGTAAAAAAAATACACTTTTGTAAACATAACAAGATGGGTATCCTAAGCTTGATTCTGAAAGACTTGTATCATTATTTTCTTGGTATATATCATTCTTAACAGGCATACTTTATATATATTATGGAGATTTTTAAACAAAAGACTAATTTCATAGTATTTGAGGGTGCTTCATTCGAAAGTTTTCTGGCAGCTGTGGCTGGAAGCTTTATCTTTTAGGTATGATAAATTACATAAACAAAAGTAACCAGGACTGGCAATTACGTGCTGCATTTGCCATACATTACCTCTGCTTTGTTGTTAAGACTCTGCATATCTTGCGTACCATAATGTCAGCAAATTCAGTTTTGTAAAATAAGCTGTCAGTTCTATCTCCTTTAGTGGAATAGTAGCAGGGACATATCATTAAAGCTTGTGTTAATCTTTTCATGACTAAAAAGACAACACATGTCAGACTAAATACTTATACATATATGCCTCTCATAGACTGTGCCTTTGCTTGATTTTGGGATGAGGGGGTAGTGGAGGCTATCATTTTGTGAGCTTTGTTTGGAGTAACTCTTACTTTACCAATGTTTGACATTTATACATTCTCTGTCCCAATAAAACAAGGTATAAAATGTTGACCACTGTACAATTACATACTACTATGTCTTAAACTAAGACTGATGAGGGTTTCAGTCCAGATATTGACAATGTGATGTCATTTTCTAGGTATAATTTCTATATCACTCCAGAAATTGACAATGTGATGTCATTTTTCTAGGTATAATCTCTATATCAGCCCAGATATTGACAATGTGATGTCATTTTCTAGGTATAATCTCTATATCAGTTCAGATATTGACAATGTGATGTCATTTTCTAGGTATAATCTCCATATAACTCCAGATATTCACAATGTGATGTCATTTTCTAGGTATAATCTCTATATCAGTTCAGATATTGACAATGTGATGTCATTTTCTAGGATAATCTCTATATCAGTCCAGATATTGATAATGTGATGTCATTTTCTAGGATAATCTCTATATCAGTCCAGATATTGACAATGTGATGTCATTTTCTAGATATAATCTCTATATCAGCCCAGATATTGACAATGTGATGTCATTTTCTAGGTATAATCTCTATATCAGTCCAGATATTGACAATGTGGTGTCATTTTCTAGGTACAATCTCTATATCCGTCCAGATATTGATAATGTGGTGTCATTTTCTAGGTACAATCTTTATATCAGTCCAGATATTGACAATGTGATGTCATTTTCTAGGTATAATCTCTATATCAGTCCAGATATTGACAATGTGGTGTCATTTTCTAGGTAAAATCTCTATATCAGTCCAGATATTGACAATGTGATGTCATTTTCTAGGTACAATCTCTATATCAGTCCAGATATTGACAATGTGATGTCATTTTCTAGGCATGATCTCTATATCAGTCCAGATATTGATAATGTGATGTCATTTTCTAGGCATGATCTCTATATCAGTCCAGATATTGATAATGTGATGTCATTTTCTAGGTATAATCTCTATATCAGTCCAGATATTGGTAATATGATGTCATTTTCTAGGTATAATCTCTATATCAGTCCAGATATTGACAAGGTGTTGTCTTTTTCTAGGCATAATCTCTATATCAGTCCAAATATTGCTTTTTCAGGAAGTAAGGGTGTTGTGAAATATTATCTAATTGTCTTTTCAAATAGGCAAAAATAGTCATGTTATTGCCAAATGTATATAACTCTTTAAAAATGTTTTTTATTTCAAAATAATTTTCTAATGATATATTAAAGTTATTACATACATATTTCCAGGTAGTAATAGTGTAAATGTATTCCTGGGACTTGGTTTACCTTGGGTGTTAGCCACCATGTATGGAATTCATATAGATAAACCTTATAAAGTGAAAACAGGAAACCTGACAGTCAGTGTCATTATATTTTGTGTTTTAGCAGTTATCTGTATAGCTACACTCATAATAAGGAGAAAGGTTGGTATTACTACATCTGTATAGTTACACTTATTTTAAAGAAATTAGTCGGTAAATGCATCTTTATTATGTTCTAAATGCAGTTTCTTATATTCTCTACCCATTTATCCTGAAATGTTTATTTTTTTTTTTTATACAATCAAGGTGTGTTTCTCTTCATCTCAGTTCTTTGTTGGTCAAAATTCGATTTTAACGTCAAATTTTCTTGCTTCCCTCTGATTTTACTTTTGTTAAATCCTTTTCAACAGTGACTATGCCTGATCATTTAGCAGTCACACAATCTTTTTTAAGATTTTTGAAACAAAAAGATAAAATTATCTTTACATTTTGTGTAAAATCATTTTAGAAACAGATTTCACCAATTTATCTCGTGGAATACGACATTTCTCCTCTGAAGAAATAAATTTTATATATATATATGTAACACTCAGAAACGTGTCCTTCCCCCCAAACGTGTCCGATTCCCCCAAACGTGTCCACACGACGTCACTGAACTGCAAAACATGTCTAAATGTAAAAGGGCGCCAAAGCGTGTTATTGTCTAAACGCCCAAACGTGTCCATTTTTTAATGAACACCCAAATGTGCCCAATCCCCCAAACGTGTCCATATTAAGCTTAATTTTTTTCTTTTACTGGAACTATCATTCGTGTCCATATTATAAATACGTAGGTTATTTGGTTATTGTTTTTTTTCAATAACGTATACTCATTTTACTATTTCATTAAAAAATAGAAATAAATTACTTTAGGTCTTTTTCAAACCGGCAGTATAACCTGGTTAAAAGTGGGGGCGTCCGTTCAACTATGTTATATGTAAATGTAAGCAGCCATGCTCAGTTATATTGTAGATCTTAAATCAGATACCTCGTGTAGGGAGAATGTCCCATTCTCTGCGCATTAAAACCTTTGTAGCAATTCACTCTTTCATGGTGCCATTAACCCGGAAAACCAGTTTTTGATTTGAAGAGCTTTTAAAATATCAGAACTGTTGAAAAAAAGGGAAGTCAATTTTACTGAAAGCCCGCCGTCGGATTAATATAAAAGGCATCATCGGAGTTTATTAGTAACACATAATTTACATAGTAAACGATTAATTCAACTGCACTAGAACTATTTGTATGTTCGCTCTAAATGAGCATGAAATACTTGCAACTGGACAATAAGCAAATTCAGTCAAAAGTTAATTTATATGTTACGTATTAAATTTGCAATTATGATAATCATTAACAACCAGCATTGAACAAGCTAATGCTAATAAATTACTACCTCATCAACTGTTTCCCCCATCATAGAATTGCCGTAAACGTTATTGATTTTATTTAGGACATACATGTATTGGCGCTAAAAGACGCGAGACGTTCTGGCGTTTAACAGTGGACACGTTTTGGCGAATAACAATTATCGGACACGTTTGTGGGTTTTGAAATTGGACACATTTGGGCCATATTGAATATTATGGACACGTTTTGGGAGAATAGACACGTTTGGGGGAATCGGACATGTTTGGGGGGATGGACACGTAATAAAACTAAGAACATGAATATAATTGTAGGTTATTTCAGTAATAAACAGGTTAATTTGGTAAAATTGGATTCTGTTTTTGGTACAATCGAAAAAGATGAAAAGTGGGGGCTATATTGCAATCACCTTGTCCTCCGTTCGTCCAACGATTTGTAACAGTTTTCTCAGAAACTACAGAACAGAATGCCTTCAGCCAATAGCTTGTTTTAACAGTGATGAATTGTAACATTTGAGCACTTTTGAATTGAATTTTTCAATATGTTGAATGAACTTAACATTTTTTGTCACATATTTCTTAAATTCTACTGAACAGATTGACTTCATATTTGGTCAGCAGCTGAAAAATGACGAGCTTTAACTTGTGTGTGCTTTATTATTTGAAACATGTCAGACACCTACTACTTTCAGTTTTCCTATACTTTGAATAACTAATGAGATATGCTTAGCACGACAATGCATGCATTCTTGCTGTTTTCTGTATGACATTATCAAATATTGTAGTTTTTTTCCTTCCTTGTATGAAATTGAAATAAGCATAAAAAATGAAAACACATAAAAGTAGATCACAAGATATTAGAATGGACAAACAGTTAATCAGATGTATGCCCTGTGAATTATAAACAAAAATAATTGTAACAGAAACAATGGCTTGAATTGATTTTTTTCAGCTTGTTGGTGGAGAACTTGGAGGCAAAAATGCCGTTGTAAAATGGTTGACAAGTTTCTTGTTGTTTTCGCTGTGGATCATATACATTGTCTTGTCATCTTTGAGGGCATATGATATTATCACTTGGTAAATAGTGTCATCATTAGGGAACATATTTTTTAAGATTTCCATATGGAACAAATGCACTATACTGGAAAAGTATGTATCTGAAGGGTTTATCTACATATTATAACATACATATTTAACTATTTATTTGTTTGTTAGCATTTTTTAAATTTTAAATGAAAAAAGCTGATATGTTAAGAGGATGAAGAAGAAATTCATATCAAGTTGTAAAAATGAAATAAAAAAAACATATTACATTATTGTTTTATTTTATTACAATTTTATGTATTTCTTTTGTTTTTAATTTTTGCTACACAACTCTCTAACTCTCAACCTGACATTTGTTTTAAGAATACCATTCCTTATGGTCCTTCTTTTGTTCAGGTCTTTGTTTGGGTGTTTGACATAGTATGACAGTGTTTTATTTATATGTTATTAGAATATTTGACAAAATCAGTTTGATTGATACTTGTATGTTGCTCATATTACACCTAGTCATATCAGTCAAAAAATCAAAATTACATAGAACAGCTTAATTTATTCCTTAGGCAAATATTGTAAATGCCTCCATAGCAAGTCAAAAAGTACTAGCCATTTTCATACATGAATTGTGTATGTGATTATATCCATCAGGTGAAAATACTATACAGAAATGGTAAATCTGAAAAGCATTCAATAATTCATCAATCATTATAATGATGTGTGATATTATTAAGGTAAAGTAAAATAGACTCTTTATTTCATTATGGAATTGAGCATCAGCACCCATATTACAGAATATAAAATAGACTCTTTATTTCATTATGGAATTGAGCCTTAGCACCCATATTACAGAATATAAAATAGACTCTTTACTTCATTATGGAATTGAGTATCAGCACCCATATTACAGAAAATAAAGAATAATCTTTTAGTAGTGTCAAATTTTATATTGGTATACTTGAAATATTTTTTGAAATAATTGAAAAATACAATAATTTGTTCTAATCCTGCTGAGAGATATGTGATCACCAATTTTAATTAGACAGTTGCCAAAAGAACAAAAGACAGGTGTGTTGAAACAATGTTTTTTTTTATATTAGAAGTTAAACTAAGAATTCAAGACTGTATTTGGCATTTATATATACATAAATACATTTATGTATGATATTAACCATGAGTATTATTTTACATGTATATATATATATATATCTATAGAAAGCCAGTTGTGCATGTTAATTAGTGCTAATATAGCATTTGAATCTCTATGAAGCAAACTGTGATCAACTGTTATATTTTTTATTATTGTTTATTTTTTGTTTATTTTCTTGTTTTTGTAAATATTATCAGTGTTGTATATCTGTTGAAAACCATTGATTATGTTGTATTTTTGTGTATAGCGTAAAATTTTACTTTTACATTCCTTTGCCAAATACACAGTAGATTATATATATATATATTAAGTTCTACACAAATAGCATAATTATTTGATTCTGTATGTATATACTTGTTTTGAGTTATTGCTGTTTACCAATTTGAATAATGTTTATTTTGTTCACAGAATATTAATAATTGGTGCAAGTTTAAACCAATACGTTTTAATATGTACAGTTTACATTACACTGGACAGCAGTAATTCTAATGGTTTTAGATATGACTTAAACTTCCTTGATAATCCAAAAGCACCCAATAGACATAAAATTGATATAAACTCAACACAAAATATTCTGCAGATGTAAATGTGTTATGTTTTACCAAAGATGATATTAGTTGATTATTTTATGAATAAGTATAAAGTAGAGGAGATTTAAAGTGATACATGTTTGTATTTGGTAGTCATACTGCATAATTACTTCTCAGTGCTTGATTTCAACTTATTTGTTTGTCCTATGTAATCTATTTTGGTTTATGTCTTTCCTAAATGTCACCAATATGGAAAGGGATAAATGAAGCTTACAATTTTTTACTAGATTTCAGTCTTAGCATCATATGTTGACTATATACTAAAATAATGGTAGACATAAACTAGAGATGAGCTTTTTATCATCTACAGACACTTTGATACATATTACATTTTGAAGTTGTTATTACCCATAAAGAAAATAAAAGTTACCTTACAATGTATATAAAAACTATTTAAAGAATTGTTTTCTGATGGATAACAGATGAATAGTGCTTGTTTTGAGGATGACAGATGTATAGTTCTAGTTTGATATCTGTAATAGTAGCAACTTTTGTTTATTTTGTTGTTACAATAATCTGAATTACATTGGTTTGCTAATTAAAGCAGTTGTTTTCTATGTTTGTAAAATTTAACGTAATAAAGGTTTGATTTTTTATCCTGCTTCTTCTCATTGTCCATTCTTGACTTCTTATCCCATTTACAAACTGTATACATGTACAGGGATATTGTTTCCAATATGGAGTTAGAACACTTTGTGCTTTTTGTTACCTCACCTGACCCAATAATCATATGGTGACTGTTGTCTGGTAACTTTGTATAAATATTGAGAATTTCTCAACTGTTAACAATTATTTAGTAATATGAAAATGAAATCAATCTGTTCATCTTCAGTGTCATATGATCTTTATCAAAACCTATGTTTAAACATTGAAATACTCCCAAAAGCAACCGTTTTAAAGTAATTTTAGGGAGACACAAGCTTGTTATATCAACTGAAAAAAACCAAATATCTTTCTGAATTTATGCAAGAGTGATATATATAGTTTTTTTTCTCACCACGATACCTGATAATATGATTTTAAATTATGCACACAACTCTTCCAGACTTTCCATTAGTGATTTCGATTACTCTGATTGTCAGAAGTACTTTAGAAGAAGTATACTTTTTTCTGAGAATTTCATGAGCTGAAAGGGGTGATTTTGAAAAGGAAAAATAACTGGTAATTTTTAGGGAATTAATAATGAAAATAATGACGTTCTACATTTCAATCCTTGTGCTGTCTGTTTTCATATCCCATTTATGGGCATTATGTTTATCAGTCAGTGAGTCCGTTCGTCCTTCCATCTGTCTGTCCCACTTCAGGTTAAAGTTTTTGGTTAGGTAGTCTGATGAAGTTGAAGTCCAATCAACTTAAAACTTATTACACATGTTCCCTATGATATGATCTTTCTAATTTTAATGCCAAATTATATTTTTGACCCCAATTTCACGGTCCACTGAACATAGAAAATGATAGTGCAAATGGGGCATCTGTGTACTATAGACACATTCTTGTTTTTAAGTCCATTGGTTTCTTCTTTGTTAAAAGTGTTTAACACAAGTTAACATTTTGGGCTAGAATCACTTATCAAAAGTGATGGTTGTTTCGATATAAATGTCTTACTGAAGCCTTTAGACTGAAAAATATTGAAAATGAGATAAAAAAAAAAATTGTCAGACTACCTGTAGCTAAAACATAGCTGGAACACAGCAGTGACGATGTTTTTATTTGCATTTTGGGCTGTAATCCTGAAAACCCCAATAGATGGAGGGAAAGTTTAAAGTGCAAAAAAAATTGGCATGAAAAGATCTACAATTTAATCAGCATGGCTAAATGTTAGTCAACTCACAGGAAAAATGTTAGCCAATTAAAATCTACAAATAAGTCGAAATGAACTAATTTTTCAGTAGAGTCCTGATTGCCATTATTGTCCTAAACTGATGATAGTTTGCTCATTTCATTGTTTACTTAATATCTCGAAACTATAATGGATAGACAAAAATGACCACAAGATAAGATTTCAGATCACATAGTTTTCATTGTATCAGTTTTTTTTTTAAATGTAAGTTTTGGGTGTTCCTTATTTACATAGTAGCATGGGATATACAGTGACGGATGTGTAGGCTATTTCTTTCAGTTCAACGCCATATCTGCGAACCTCTTGAACCAGAAGCTACCATGTACTTAAGAAATTCTTCAATATTAAATGATACTTTCAGGGGTTAACATCTTGTATATGCAATTTCTTCTAACCACTGAACAGATTTCAAAAATGTTATGGAATCTTGATAACATAATGCTATAGAACAGTTCTTATTATTTCTTATAAAATAAAACATATGCCTCACCTTGAAATGTGAACCTCTTGTACTTCTAGTTAAATGTAAAATTTCGAAACGTTTACAATTTAAAATATGAAAAGTGCTGGGAGCTTTAATATTTACATTTGCAGGTAATAATGTTCATGCTTTATATAGATAGGTTAATACATTATGGGTAGATAACATAATTTACCATGAATAAAAGAAGATGTTTGGTTAAGATCAATGAGACAGCAACAACTAAACGACATCTAAAGGTCAACATATAGTCTTCAACAATATCTAAATTGTCCGAGTCTGAAAAAAATGTTAACACGAACTCGTGTATCTCTTTACTACCAAAAACTACCTCTCACACTCTCACTCTCTTAAATACGGACTCTTGACGACTGGTGCCTCGGCTGTTCCAATATTAACATTCTCTCTGTAGATACGGCAGTATCTACACACCACACACACGGATATATTTAGCAAAAATGAAATGACTACAATTACCCTGCCCAGCACTTGAAATTCCTAATTCTAAATGTTACTGATTATAAATATGATGTTATGTTTTATGTACTGTTGTTTGTCTGTTGGTCTTTTTTTTAGCCATGGCGTTGTCAGTTTATTTTCGACTTATGAGTTTGAATGTCCCTTTGGTATTTTCGCATCTCTTTTAAAGTATCTACACAAAGGTTTAAAATATGTTCATTAAAATATTTCCCATAAACAAAACATTTCAAGATATAACACTGCAGTATGCCACTGAATCCGCTAATTGCTGCTTCAATCATTCTGTCGGATTTTGATGCCACATTACATAGTCCGAATGGCATTGCTGTATACTGATAAAATCCATAAACTGGGATTGAAAACGCAGTCTTTTTCTTGTCACTAAGTTTCATTGCTATTAAATGATAAGCCATATCCAAGTTCAGTGATGATAATCACTGAGATCCACCACACCAGGTATCCAAGTAATCATCAATCCGTGGTATCGGATACGAATCTTTTATGGTCTTTTTCTTAAATTTCCGCTAATCCACACTTTGCCGTCATCATGATACTTTTTTACTAACACAGTAAGAGGAGACCATGGACTACAAGATTTTTCTATGATACTTTTCTCCTTTGAATTCTCTATTTCATTTTCTAAAATGTGCCTTCTGCTACCTGCACAACAATACTCTTCTCGGGATTTCTTTGATTGGTGTTTCGTCATGTAATTTAAAGAATACATTGTTTTCCAGAATTTCCATTAGGATTTGCAAATACCTCTTGGTATAGCATCAACATCTCCCAAAATTGATCGGTCTCATCTTGTGTTAATAACTTCTTTCCATCAAGAAACGTCTTGTTTACGTATTGTGGTAACAATTCACCAGTCTTGTATCTTTTCTCGTCAATGTGACAAACGTCAACACTATCAATCTCTACCTCATCAACGATATTCATAATAGGAATGTATTCCCTTATACCATTCGATATCTGTATGCGTTGCATTAAATAATCTTGCGCAAATTATTCCCTTAGATGCATTCACAAGAACTCTTGCTAGCGCTAGTCCATTTTTTTTCATAAAACATCTCTCGGGAGACAGACCACAAGAAATATTCAATGGAGTATCTCCTACCTTTCTTGTCAGTCCCAATTTTACTACTACTTCATGTTTAGGAGCTACCATTATTGTTTATAAAGCAATCACCCTTCTTGATCATGTATCTTCACGGTTTTCCTTAAATGATATATTCTTGCCATTTATAAAAAAAAAAGGTATTTTAATTCAAGGGATAACGAAAACATAATATTCATATATTGAAGTAACTTTATAAGGTTTTCTTACAAATTTGATTTCACCCCTCCTCCAATTACAGGAAAATCGACACAATAATCACCAAAAAACAGTCATAACTGCGGTTCCTAAGCATTTAACCTACTTGCATTTGTGGTTTCGAATTTTCTTTCTATTGGGCACAGCAAAGTTCTACTATTGGACAGAATGTTCCTGTAGTGTTCATACCAGCTTTTCCATTAACACTTGTTAAGAATGCTTCATCATTCAGCTCGATGTCCGATTCACCTTTCTCATCGCAATTTAAATTCATTAGACAATATTTCTTCTTATTATCCTCCTTTAGATAAGTTGTATTATCACTTTGTTCTGCTTGTGAATGAAGACATTTAGGAGTTCTGGTCGACTTTTCGTTGAACAGACGAAACGTTCAACTGTTTCATGGGAGCCTACTGCCTGACCGATGCCCATTTAATTGTTTGTTCGTACCATCACTCCATCGACGGTGTTGTTGGACACCACCGTTTTCAACTTCGGAACTTCTTTAGACTTTTTTCCCGCACCTGCTTGTCCAATCTGATCGATATTACTGGTGTTCTTCTTCTCAACCTTGCTTCAGCGAGATAACATTCTTTCATGTTAAAATGTCCAAATCGTAAGTCCATACTATTGATAAAACGATCCCAATTTATTTGTACATCATTCCATAGACCATGCATAAATATGTCTGCTTGACAACTGAGCGTTGCCATGAAAACCAGTCGTGTTTCCTGTAAACATTCCAACCATTTAATTTCGCAAAGTTTTCAAAATAACGCAGAAAATCTGATCAAATGTCTTTCCCTGTACCTCGCAATATTCGCTTTGATTGGGTTTCGAAAATTGTAGGCTGTGTTAATGTCGGGAATGCTGAACCAACCACACGCTGCTCTTCTCTTCTTGTGGAATATTGCAATAAATATTCTTAAGGGTGAACATTTCTTGCATTATCTTCGGTTTTATTCTTTGAAGAATAATACTTTTGTCTTGGATCACCTGTTCCAACATTAGTGAAGTCCATAGGATATGTTTCATAATTGGTTCTACTTGAATTAATGTCTTCTATTATATTTGAAATAAAGTTAACTTCACTAGTACACTAGTTTCCAAATTCCATTTTAAATGAAGCTATCGTACCACTGCCACCATTTGTAGCGTGTCCTTTTTTATAGGGTTTGCTAGTGACTATGACATATTTATTATTAAGTTGCGTCTAAATATAAAATCCATATCAAATATAAACAACTTTAATAATATAAAGTTCTAATGTTATAATCATTTTATAACTTCCAACTAGTGTAACAATATGTACATATTCATACACTTTCGTTGACTTTCGTAAATAAAAGAGATAACTCGTCCTATCTACTTCAAGTATTAACACCAACTCGTGTATCTCTTTACTACCGAAAACTATTGCTTATATTCTCACACTCTTATATATGGTCTCTTGCCGGTGGGTGCCTCGGCGGATCCCAAAAG